ACTACGTGGTTTTACGACTGATCATCTTGATGTGATCTTGGAGTTTCATACGATTGCCATCCATTCCGATGACGTTTGTCTGAACGACATCAATGACATACAGTGAAGGTAAACCAAAATTTATGCAGTTGTCTTCGAATGGCGTCAGTCGCTTTGGGGAACCACACTGAGTCTCTTACTATCATTACCAACGCAATAATTTAACAACTGATGGCCTTGATATGAACTTGTAGTTTCATACGATTGCCATCTATTCCGATGATGTCATGGTCGTCTGAACAACATCAATGGCAGTGATGGTAAACCAAAATTTGTGCAGTTGTCACCGAATGACTACGTATACGTCAGTAGCTATTGGAAACCACACTCTTACTATCATTACCTACGCAATTTAACAACTGATGGCCTTGATATGAACTTGGAGTTTCATACGATTGCCATCTATTCCGATGATGTTATGTTTGTCTGAACAACATCAATGACAGTGACGGTAACCCGAAATTTGTGTAGTTGTCTTCGAATGGCGTCAGTCGCTATTGGAAACCACACTCTTACTATCATTACCAACGCAATAATTTAACAACTGATGGCCTTGATATGAACTTGGAGTTTCATACGATTGCCATCTATTCCGATGATAACATGTTTGACTGAACAACATGGGTGGCAGTGACGGTAACCCAGTTGTCCTGGGATGACTACGTCAGTCGCTATTGGAAACCAAACTCTTACTGCTATTACCTACGCAATTTAACAACTGATGGCCTTGATATGAACTTGAAGGTTCATACAATTGACATCCATTTCGATGATGACGATGACATGCTTCAGCTTGAGTGAACAAAACCAATGAGAGTGACGCTAACTCAATATTTTCAGCAATCCTGCAGTGACGTACGCCATTTTCTTAGAACTACAGCTTTATATCTTATCTCATGCATTACCCAGACCATCACATTTTACGACTCGCGGCCTTTATGTGAACTTGGAGATTTGTTCTGTTCGTCGTAAATCGCGATGATGATTTGTTCGCCGAGACAGCTAGAGTGACAGTGACGGTAAACTAAGCCCCGGCATCAATGCAGCGCTGCGTGAGTGACGCGTCTAGGCGCTCTTTTTGTCATGACCGCCGCGGGTTTACGACCGATGCTCACGATACGAACTTCGGGTCTCGTGGGATTGCCGCCCGTTTGGATGATTATATGTTTGATTGTGCAACAGCAGTGACAGTGAGGATAAACCAGTCTCCATGTGAGTATACATCTAGATTCTTCTCTTCTAGGTACAAATTACTATCGACGTCAGCTTTTAACCTCTGGCAGTTAGAGGCACTTTAAACCCTGAAATGTTGGCAGTTGTAGTCAGTTGAATATTGTATGTTAGATTGTGCTATAAGACTAACAGTGACGATAAACCAGTTTCCATGTGAGTATACATCGAGTCTCTACTCTTCTAAGTACCAGTTATTTTTGACGTCAGCTTTTAAACTCTGACGGTTGTAGTCATTTATATCCATTTGATGATTATGTTTGATTGTGTTACAAGAGTGACACTGAGGATAAACCAGTTTCCACGTGAGTACATCGACCCTCTTCTCTTCTACGTACAAATTACTATGGACGTCAGCTTTGAAACTCTGACAATTAGAGTCGGACATGACAACAGTTAAAGTCAGTTGCTGATTATATGTTTGATTGTGCAACAGCAGTGACAGTGACGATAAAAAAGTCTCCATGTGAGTATACATCGAGATTCTTCACTTCAGGGCAGGGCATTACTATGGGCGTTAGCTTTTACACTGACAGTTAGAGCCACTTTAAGCCTTGAAATGTCGACAATGACAGCCATTTGATGATTATATGTTTGATTGTGCTACAAGAGTAACAGTGACGATAAACCAGTTTCCACGTGAGTATACATCGATCATCTCCCCTTCCATGTACAAATTACTATCGATGTCAGCTTTTAAACCCTGACACTTAGAGCCACTTTAAACCATGTCATGACAACAGTTAAAGTCAGTTGCTGGTTATATGTTTGATTGTGCTACAAGAGTAACAGTGACGATAAACCAGTCTCCACGTGAGTATACATCGAGTCTCTCCTCTTCTAAGTACAAGTAATTTTGACGTCAGTTTTTAAACTCTGACGGTTGTAGTCAGTTAGAGTCATTTGATGATTATATGTTTGATTGTGCTACAAGAGTAACAGCGGCGATAAACCAGTTTCAACGTGAGTATACATCGAGATTCTTCTCTTCTCTGTCAGCTTTTAAACCCTGACATTTTGGCAGTTACGTACATACAGCCAGCTGCTGATAATATGTATGGTTGTGCTACAAGAGTAACAGTGACGATAAACCAGTCTCCACGTGAGTTTTGCGTACGCATTACTATATCTACGTCAGCTTTTAACTGTGATAGTTACAGTCAGTTTAATCCCTGAAATATTATAATGTCGAAAGGTATAGTCATTTGATGATTGTATGTATGATTGTGCTACAAGAGTAACAGTGACGATAAACCAGATTCCACGTGAGTATACATCGATCCTCTACTCTTCTAAGTACAAATACTATCGACGTCACCTTTTAAACCCTGACATTTTGGCAGTTACGTACATACAGCCAGCTGCTGATAATATGTATGATTGTGCTACAAGAGTAACAGTGACGATAAACAAGTTTCCACGTGAGTATATACCAAGCCTCTCCTGTTTTGCGTGCGCATTACTTTACCTGCGTCAGCTTTTAACTGTGACAGTTAGAGTCAGTACAGGACATTACTATCGACGTCAGCTTTTAAACTCTGACAGCCACTTTAAACCATGTCATGGAAACAGTTAAAGTCAGTTGCTGATTATATGTTTGATTGTGCTATAAGAGTAACAGTGACGATAAACCAGTCTCCACGTGAGTATGCTTCGAGTTTCTCCTCTCCTACGCACATGGCATTACTATCTCCACGTCAGCTTTTACACTCTGACAGTTAGAGCCATTTTAAACCATGCCATGACAACAGTTAGAGCCAGTTGCTGATTATATGTTTGATTGTGCTACAAGAGGAACAGTGACGATAAACCAGTCTACAAGTGAGTATGCTTCGAGCCTCTACTCTTCTACACACAAATTACTATCGAACTTTTAAAATATGACAGTTAAAGGCAGTTTAAACCTTGAAATGTCAACAGTGACATTTTATTGTGCTACAAGAGTAACAGTGACGATAAAACAGTGAGTGACTATACATCGATCCTCTCCCCTAGGCCTTCTACATACACATTACCATATCGGCGCCAGCTTTTAAACTCTGACGGTTAAAGTCAGTTTAGGATTATATGTTTGATTGTGCTACAAGAGTAACAGTAACGATAAACCAGTCTCCATGTAAGTATACATCGATCCTCTCCCCTTCTACATACGCATTACCATATCGACGTCAGCCTCTATATAACCTGACAGTTGAAGTCAGTTGTGGCTCCATCAGATATTCCCCTATGTGGGCGTGTTACATGTACACGTCTGCCGGGTCTCCGGTAACGACTTTCTCTCGGTCTGGGCGCTACTGACGCGGGGAGCTGTACAGCTGTATGGATCGGTGCGGCGAGCAGACGTGGCAGAAGGTCAGAAGGTGGGTGTGGTGGTGAGAATGCGAATTCTTAGCCTCCTGTGCAGGCTCCGGGGCGAGTGGGAATTTTGATACAGTCGTTTTGAAGAGTGTTTGACGCGTTTTTTTTAATAGCCGGCCATCCTATAACCAGGAACCTTCTCTCGTGGCTGGTTGTAGGATGGCCGGCTATTAAAATAACGCTCTTCAAAACGCTGTATCAAAATTCCCACCCGCCCCGGAGCCTGCACAGGAGGCTAGCGAATTCTGAGGTCACCTTAAGCTTTCCATAGCCTCTACCAGGCTTCAGACGTGGCTGGAAAGAGTAAGAGTACAAATTGGCCAAATAGACTAGACAGATAACATGCCAGGGGAGTTGGTTTGCTGAAGAGTACATTTGCCGATCCAGATTGTGCTCCTTCTCCAACTCCCCTGGCATGTTATCTGTATATTTTGCCAATTTCCACTCTTTCCAGCCGCTTCTGAAGCCTGGTAAAGTCTACACTTTCCACTGGATAAGGACCGGAGAGCGACGAAAATGGGTTTTGTACGACTTGTGACTGTGTGAACAGAATACGGTCCATGAGGTACAGATATGACTTGAAAAATTGAAAAATGAGCTATTCAATGTATCTATATTTTTTTGTATGAAATCCGTTTGAATTACACTACAGAACTGAAGAGTTTTGTCGCTCAAAGATTGCTTGACAGCCATCGTTTCAATGGGAGAGGAGTATGCATAAGAGGCGCAATTTAATCTACCCACTGCGAAGAGAGTGTACTCTAATGCATTTGTTTCCTTTCGTGCGAATAATCCATTCCTTACCATCGACCAATGGCATTTCCAAAAAAAATATCACCAAACTTGTGTGAAATTGCCTTGCGGATGATTTTGGTTATCTCCGACTATTGCGAACACGTGACAAGATACGGTGGGGCAAACGTCTAGAATTGTGGGTCAATTCGTAACGGGCTCGTTGCGAATTCCCAGGCACCTTTAACCTATCAAGGGAGTCAATTGTCCCTAAGGTCACTACCGACAACGCAGAGCATCATTTGCCATCAGGAAGCGAGTACCTGCACGGTAAGTCTGCCGGAAATTCACAGAGACTTCCAGCGTTGATTATGGTAGTTATAGCTCATTATCATTACATTACTATTCATCGCTATCATCTACTCTGCAGCTTTTCCTAGGAGTCCCGCTGGAGAGCACACACAGAGCTTTCGCGCAAAGTACCGACGCCGACGTCAAACGTATCAGCAGCGACGGAACATCTCTGTGAGCCGTCAGGGGCAGACAGAACTGTACAGTCGATACGCTGACGTCCTCTCGGTGCAGTGAGTGTAAATACTACTCCATCGTTCCGCGCGGTCTGGATCGATTCGCACATGAACATGGCAGGCAACGGAACTGGTGAAGAGCTAGAGAACATCCTCCCGACTGATGGAGGTTTCTCCTGGGACGAACTGTTCGTAGACAACGCCACGAATGTGACGGGACAGCACGGGATGCCGCGCCGGGATTCGGACCCCGAGTTTCTGAACTACACGGCCCTGTTGTCCCTTCCGCTGATCGCAGGGACGATCTTCGGGAACTTCCTGGTGATTATGGCCGTGTACAGGGAGAAGAACCTGCGCTCCATGACCAACTATTTCATCGTGAGCCTGGCTGTAACCGACGCCCTGATGGCAGTTCTGGTCATGCCTCTTGCCGTCTACTTTGAGGTAAGCTTTTTACTGCTTTAATGTTCCTTTGTAGAACGTTTCTATTTACCTGCCTACTTGCCTAAATGCTTAGGCCAGATCGTTAAGCCACCTTATATATCGTTGTAATGTCTTGTCTTGTCTTGTCTTGTCTTGTCTTGTCTTGTCTTGTCTTGTCTTGTCAACAGGGCAATCCTTTGTAATAGCTACTGGCTAGTAGGACTGCCCTGGCTGTAAGGGTACGTTGAATAACCAAACCGATAAATAAATAAGCTTTCTACTAGGCACTGTCCTAAGAGAGACACAGACAGCGCTTTTTGCTGGTATCTAGATGTGTTGTCGCCTCGCAGTCTAGTGTTAGGTACTCCCCCCTCACAAACCCACGTACCGAAACCCTTGCTGGAGCCGTTTCGTGACCCAAGGTTAGAAAAAATGCTTTCAAAGACAACGACTGAATCAATTTCTGTCAACCCGGGAGCTTCGGCGACAGAATACTGAACACTTTGGAAAAAAAACTAAAAGCAAATTCGAGTTGAAGCTTCGCAGAAAGTGCGCTGCGTAATGTCAACACATTTTGCTCAGCCTGATCGGATTTAAAAGTCATTTGTGGCTGCTACAGTAGTGACTGTAGTCCATTGGGCTGTCTAGACTCACAGTGCTAACACGGGTACAACATAATTAGATTGGATTGGATCGGAGATCATTATTTACAGCACGATATATCTAAATGCTTTTAAAGTCGGTCTGTAGATAGATCACAGTTAAGATCGGATTTCCTGCAAATGCCAATGATTAAAAACGCGAAGCTCAAATGCAATGCGTGAAATTAGAGTAGAATGTTAATGTCGAATGATGAACTTTCCGTAACATGAAATTGTAATTCACGAACATGAAAATGTTAAACTTCTATAATTGATGTTCAGAAAACCGTTTAATTATATCGAGTTATGTGTGCTTTAATTAGAAAGCGCGTTTATATCTTTATCATAAGCCGTAGGGATCTTTGACTAGATTTCAGTCTCTGACAGAATAGAATTTTTTTACATGACGAAATCGCAGCCATGTTGGTGTTCCTATTTGCATACCTGTGAACCATCCGTTTTTGGACATTCAATTAAGTCTTCTAACCCCTCAAATAACCACTATTGAATGTGTCTCTGGCTCAAGGAAGAGCATGCTAGAAGAAAACTATAAAAAAAACTTCGATAAGACGCAAAAAAGATTCACTGAAATGCATATCACGGACACCAAGATGGCCGACAGACCCTGCCTGCTTTACTGATGCGGAAAGTGAGCGAAAACGATCGATAGGCACGATAAGGTTGCGTGTGTCCGTCAAATTATCGAGGAAGGCATCGTAATCACCGTCTAATTTGTAGTGTCTTAGCGTGTCTTTTCCATCAAGATACAACTTGTCACGTTTCGTTACGCGTCCGCCCAACTCTAGAACATGACTTTACCTGCCAGTTGTGAAGGTCACCAAGAGAAGAGTTTTAAGTTTCTAACTCTGCTGCAGAGTACTGAAGGGTCTGCATAGGAGATTCTGGCAACGCTTAACGGTAAATTTAGGAGTATTGGGATCGGGAACGTTCAAAGGTAAATTGACTCGTAAGGTGGAAGCGAAAAATTTTTGGAAAGATTTTATTTGGTTGTATCATAAAAGTACATGTACTAATGGGGTGTCTGGCAAATTTAAACTGTGAGTCTTCCTTCCGTTGTGCATTTTTGTCAATTTGGCTTTCGACTTAACGACAAGTTCAGGAGTACAATTTAACCAATAAACGTACGCGATACATGGAATTAAAAGGCCAATTGTTATTCCAGACTAATTCACCGACAACACGCAACTAGCTCGCTGCGCCACGCGGTAACAAGGCAAGCAGAGCCTAAGGACTCCCGGTGTGCCACCGGTCTATTATCAAGACATTTTCTTGGCAGGTGGTTCGTAATACGGAGTGTCTTTGACCCAGGTTCTGCATCTGTATCTGTATAGCCGGTATAACCGCCCTACGGCGTAACACACCAGCTTGATATGTTTACATGTAGCAAGGTTTTGGTGAAGAATAAGATAATTTTACCAGAAAAAGCACCCCGTAGGCGGCAATGTATGCTAATGGGGCGCTGCCATTCGGCGTAGGCCGCCGTGCGATTCTGATGTCGTAGGGTTTTTAAACAGACAGTGACAGGACCAACCTAAGACAACCTTTTCCGTAATAAGACATCTGTAGTATGTACCACAAATGCAGGACTGTCTCTAGCCTGAATGCCAGACCCATAGCACACTGGGCCCAAAGTTATCCCGTAGGTACAGGTGCTAGTGTGCTATGGATGCTAGTGTGCTATGGATGCTAGTGTGCTATGAGCGCTAGTGTGCTATGGATGCTAGTGTGCTATGGATGCTAGTGTGCTATGGGTGCTAGTGTGCTATGGATGCTAGTGTGCTATGGATGCTAGTGTGCTATGGGTGCTAGTGTGCTATGGGTGCTAGTGTGCTATGGGTGCTAGTGTGCTATGGGTGCTAGTGTTCTGTGGATGCTAGTGTGCTATGTGCACACCTAACAAATTTGAGCCCAGTGTGCTATGGATCTGGAATCCAGGCTAGACTGTCCCAAAAATGCATCCAGCTTACGACCGCACGGCGCATACATGTATGTTACCGGACACAGCCTATTCCCCAAGGCGAAATCAGACAAAGAAAAAAAATTGGTAAAATCACGAAGCTGTTAAATCAACTTGAAGTACAGCAGTTGAAACATGATTGTCCAATATGGGGGGCGAACCCGTACCCTCAGGAGTGCCATACGTTATCGATGCATTCCAATTCATCAGGCTACATAACTAAGGGCTGTATCCATTGGTGCGACCTTTGCAATAAGCCGTATCCGTCCCACAGGCCACCCCTGGCCGAGGGCACATTCTTCTTGTAGTCTACCTGCGAAAACAAGGTGTGATGTATCTATGAAGTCTGAACCAGTTGATTAAGAACCCTGAACCCAGACTTTCCCCGGAAATTAAAGACGGTTAGCCAGTTAGTTAAGGTCACAAAGTCAGTACATTTTGTTCCCAGGCAAATTTTAATGAAGAATAGAATTTACCAGCATATCCACATAGACATTTGCTAAAAAAATTCCGCACATTTAAGTATCATTAATGATACATTTATTGCAAATTCCTGCCCGAAGGCTAATTGGAAATAACAAAGATAAAAGAGCACTGAAACAGAGTACAAAATAACTACATAATAACACGACGTCCTATGCGATGTTATGTTGTATCAGTGCATCGTTCCATTGAAATTATCAGGTTCAGAAGCATACCATTTATTTAGTAGCCAATTTTATAGTGTAGTTCATCGCCCCCAAATGCAAGGTTTGATCACATATAGCAGTGTGGTAACTAGGTGAAGTCAGACAGACTACATCAATGTTACAATTTGAGGTGAGCTAACTACTAGTGTATAAAAAGGTCTAGCAAACACAGTGTTTCAGAATAATGTATATAGTTGTGTGTAAGTTCGGGGGCTTCTATTGATTAGCCTTGAATGTCTGGATTCCATGCCGCTAGAAACTCAAGTGAGACATGCAACAGGGGCTACTTCATTACATAGCTTCAAACAACGCTTGTAGGTTTCCACATTTTACTTCAAGATCTGGTGAAGACAAACAAGATCTGGTGAAACATTACAATTTTTGATTTTCAGCTTATTATGAATTATGCCAAAAATGTAAAATATCGACATATTTTGGAGCACATAGCGTATATGTGTAATTTGTAAACTTGTAATTTTTTTGCAATTCAGTGACCGGGAGAGTCACTGCGAATGTGCAATAAACACATCTTGAGTCTTGAGTCACATGAAACTTTTTCTGTCCAGACATTACGTCAGACAAAAGCCCAAACTGCAAACTAAGTAGTTGTTAAAAAATTCATACTTCTTCTTGGATCACTTAAGAAGAGCACTAATGCAGTTTTTACACCTGAGTTATAGCCAATCTAAGTGAGTGAAAAGCGAAACGCGACTCTTTCTCTCCCACAGTCTCGACCTCCTGAACGCTCCAAGGGTAATCAAGGTAACGTATCGACTAAAGAGCCGGCAAAAATAGTAGGAACATTAATTCTCCTTTTTCCAGACACCCTGGGTACAAGGAAAATACATTAATGCCACCCGTTGCTTCCCTCACACTGTAGCCTGACCGTAAATCTAATTTAGCAAAGTCGATATTTAACTTTCCAGAAACTTCTGTAGAGAATGCAAGCAATCAGCCGGCTACCTGAGACCATGGATCAAACACTTTTGACAAATTGAAAATTACTTCTTCCCCCAAAGTGTGTCTGTAGTTAGCATTTGTATAGTCTGCACACGGATTTTAGATGGCATACTTTCTCAAATAGCTTCATCTAGAGCTGCAAAAGTCTTCAGCGAACCGTGCTATTAAGCTGAGTGCTTCAATTGATATCGAGTTCCACATACTTTCTGGAATGTTGCCAAAGTTACGCTATTATGCAGTCACAGGATGAAGAACGAATTGAAAGGATCTAGTACTAGGTGTTTGGTAAATTCCCTTAGATCGGCATGACTAAGTACTGTAGTGCAGCGATTTGCGGAGAATGAGCGCGGTACATTCACACACCCACTGGTAACGGAAGATAATGCCGGGTTGAAAGCCGGCTTGATGCCCGCTGACGTTCGTCTTAAATTTGCTCGTTTGTTCTGAAGTCCAAGCGTAGGATACGCGGGGTGGTTCCGTCTGACTGTGGTGATCTTTTGAAGCGTTTTGCCGTATGCGGTCTGGTTCTTAGCAAACCTACCTCTGGATCAAGCGGTTATAATTAGGGGTTCGAATCCCGTATTTTTTTTTCGCTCACTTGACATGCTTGTTACTGGCAATGGCCGTTGGTTAAGCCATGGTCCATTGTACTTGCACTTGTCGAAAACAGCTAGGGGAATTACCCCGTACAATGAACCTGTATATACTTACATATATGTCTTTCATGTCACGACCAGTGGAATATCACATTTTCAGTGAGCTAAACTGGTTTGAGATCACTTTCAGTCCCTGGCTATCTCTAACAAGAGAAGGCTTACACATGTAAATAAAATCAATGACAGCAATTGCTTGTTTAAAAAGATATGGGGATGTACCCACTGTTTCCATTTCATTATAATTAGAGCTAGAAGCGCCAGGATTACGTATTGTATCGGGGGGGGGGGCGTTTTGTAACCTCGTTGTCTTCACTGAATAATTTGAACATGTCTGTAAATATAGAAGAACGCCTTGTCATTTCAGGACACATGTAGCTACACGCGTTACCAACACTGTAGCCTAATCACCAACACGAAAACGCACGTTCCTCACGGTAACGAACCACTTTACGTGAAAACCAGCATGTATATCACCACCATCCGCCCTAGTACATCGTTATATTGTCACGTAAACGAAAATTGCCGAGAGGGTCTAGAGCTCAAGTTATGCGGAGAGGCATTAAAATTAGGGATCAATTTTGTAGGTGGCAATCATAGCCGAGCGCCGCTCTTAACATCCTGAATTCCAATCCGACTAGCGGGGGGCTGGGATTAAATATTCACATCGAGAGCCGATGGACTACTTGTGTAATGTGGATCTGTAATTGTCAAGATGATGATAGTGCGAACCTATTTGTGCAACTTTTGCACGTATTTTAAGTAGCTCTTTTTCACTCGGCTTATAGAAAATTGCAATAAAAAAAATAGATTTGGCCAGCGTCGGGATATGGAGAACGGACCCATGCCAGTGGTGCTCATCACCATTTCTGTAGCCCTTGGGCCACACACGGACCTCCATTTAACGTCCTATCCGACTGGCGTCCCTAACCGGAGGTAGGTACGCATTTCCACCTGATTGAAGTGAGGAAAGTCGTGTAAAGTGCCTTTTCCAAAGTACAAGATCGGTGACATGGGCAGGGTTCGAACCCGGGACCTCTTGGTTCTAAGCTGAACACGCTACCGCTATCCCACACGTCTCTGATTTCCTATTTTGCAGGTGGTGCAGAGCTGGACACTGGGTTTCGTGATGTGTGACATCTTCGTGACGTTTGACGTCATGTTCTGTACCGCCTCCATCTTTAACCTGGTCGCCATCAGCATCGACAGGTGGGTGGGACAGAGTAGCCTCTAGCAGGCTTCGGCAGGCGGCTGGTTAGACTAGAAAGTGGCCAACAGACATACTCATTTAAACCTGAGTTATGGAGAAAATTCGTGTTAAGTGCCTTTCCCAAGGGTACAAAGGTAGGGTTCGAACCCGGGTTCCGAGGCGAACACTCTACCTTTAGGCCACACGACCACACAATTGTTTCCTTAAGTTTACCGAGGGAAAACATATTGTTTTTGCTTTGTTTCTTCTTCCTCTTCTTCCTTTTCTTCTCGAAACAAATAGGGTCAATGTCCTGAACCAGACGGCTGTCAACATGGGAACTGGTGTTGGGTTACATCATGTTGCAATTTTATAGCAGAAGGGATTTAGACTCCTGTCTGACCATATATAAGAATGTGTTTGTGTAAGAATTTACAGAGAAGACCATATGCGAAGGTAAACATCATGCATTTGCTTTGCAAATGTTGCCTTTCTAATTCAACATTGTCTCCGTCTGGTTTCATTTCGATGGCGTGGGTTTGAATCCCAGCTGCCACCAGTGTTATATATTGGAGAGGCTGCTATAATGATGCCCACACTCGACCAAGGCTTGGACAAGACTGATCCAGAGACACGAGGTCCCTGTCCTTTATTGATCTTAATTGACACCAGATGTGTTGCTGGTAGGAGGTCACAATTCATACTTCCTACACAGGTTCTACGCAGTAACGTGGCCGGTGCACTACGCCAAGCACAAGTCGAAGAGCCGGCCGATCCTGACCGTGGCGCTGGTCTGGCTCCTCTCCTTCGCCATTTCCTGTCCGCTGCTCTTCGGGGTCAACAACCCGGATGTCGGGCCGCGGCAGATCGGGACTTGTGGGTAAGAACCAGTCTCCAAGCAAATCTTTTGGTGGCTACAAAGACAGAGTCAAATTGGCCACCCTTGGCTGGCAAAATGGTATTACTGTCTGGCAAAAGGACACTGCCTGGCTAATTTTGTTCCATCTTTGTAACCACCAAAATATCTAGTGACTACTTAAAGATTAGGCAAGATCGCAATGATTTATGTTACCTTTATGTTACCATGGTAACAAACATAATATGATGTTACGTAGCTAGTCGCTAAACCCACTAGATTAGTAATCTAGTGGCGCGAACTAATGCGCACATCAAAATCAGTGGTCGCTAAACCCACTAGATTATTTAGCGACTAACTACGTAACATCATATTATGTAATCCATTAGAAGGCTTTTGCAAGAAGGTTGTTGCAGACGCGATCAATAAAAAATCCCTCCGGCAAAAACGTCTTAAAACTACAACAACCCTTCTTGAGAGGTTACAAAAACACTCAAGACAAACTAGACACACTGTAGATGGAGTTCAGAGATCTCAGAGTCAGAGCAGCCCTTCCTGCATCATGGCGTCAGTAATAACATCTACCCTGAGGGTTCCTACAGCTCCATCATCCATCATCTTTCATATCAGAACCACTGCATGCAGAAGCGACACCATATTGTAAATAGCTGACATATTTTTTTGAATTATAGAATGTAATGATAACACAATAGATTAGGTTTAGTATCATTATGGATTAGCTCTGTTAGAATTATATTTTGGTATTAGTTCAAGTATCTACTCATGTTGTTTCTTCTTTGCCATACATAGTACCAGCTACAGTTGTTGAGCAATAAAGTTGATCTATGATCTATGATCCATCAACCTGTCACTCATAGACGCTGTTATGATGGATTAGTGGCAAGTGGTGCCGAGTTTATAACAGTTTATAGCAGTTTTTTTCAGAGAATCAGCCTCGCAGCATGTACAACAAGCTGAATAACACTGATTTGTATGGCAAATAAAAATTAACATGACGATACATCGATGAAGGTTAGACATCCAGGTAATACGACACGCCAAAAAGCAGTTACTCAAGCAACTGGATATGATTTTGGAAATGGAACCTTAGGAATATGGATTAGTAGCAAGTATTACTAGTTGTTTTATGTTTTTTTTAACTTTCTGCAGACTTGAGAGCGGAGACTACGTGATCTACTCTTCAGTGTGCTCGTTCTTCATCCCCTGTACGGTGATGCTGGTGCTCTACTACAAAATACTTAAGGTCGGCAGCAGTCCAACATTGTCATTACAAAATAGAGTATAACACTTTCCTTATGTCTGCATATCAGAATGTGCCACCCTTGTGTCCTTTTCTATATGCTATCGAATAAAAATATCATGCAAAAGTTTCACGACGTTGCTTTACGGCTGGACCGCTCAATTCAAGTTTACATCAGACCGCTTTTATGATTATATCTTAAATATTTTGCAAACATGTTTGTCAAACAAGATAAGTAGTGTACTGTGATGACGTAGCCTAGCATGTTTCTCAGATATCCAAAAGTATAGAACGCACGCAAACGTTGATGAAGAAAATTACGTAATACATGTACGTCTAAACGTCTGTTACCACATAGATAATATCTTTTCGTCAGTGGATTTCAAGTAATATGGAGTTTACGTTTTCCAGAAAATAAAAGAGCGTACGAAGAAGCTCGCTCCTAAGAGCACGATGAGTTCCAACCCGTCCGCGCCGTCCGTCGGTGACACCATCGCCATGGACGAGCCGAGCGTTCCGCGCATGCACAAGAGCGACACGCAGACAACCAACCTCGGCACCGACGACGAACTCCAGCCGAGCACGTCGTACGACAACAGCGAGGACCTCACGACAGACGTACGAATCCCGGGACAACTGCACACGACCAACAGACCGTCGTGGACTTCCACGGGTAGTACAACATTGGTGGACAACAGGAGAGGGCCCAGGGCAAGAGAGAAAGTTTCTCTCGCTGTTATCAGAAGCAAGTTCAAGATCAAGCCTAGAGACGACTTTCCGAACAAGCGAGAACAGAAGGCCATCAATGTTATGAAAATAGTTATCGGTAAGTTATCGGTAAGACCTTATCTTACAAGTTTGCCATCCTCCGTAGTCTATGGTAGGGAGCCGGTGGTAACTACGGAGGACGGCATCCAGGCTACCGAAGGTACACGGAACTGCAAAACTCAGTATCACCCCCATCAAACTCCTTTCAAGTCGTACCCGGAAATTCAAGCCGTACCCGCTCAAAAATTCTGGCCGTACCCGGAAATTCGTGCCGTACCCGCGAAAATTTCACGCCGTACCCGGTAATGCATTCGTGCCGTACCCTGTACTTTTTCGCTGTACCCAATGGCGGATATCGCTCAGTCCCGGTGCGTAGTCACTCGGAAGTCGTGTCTAAATACCCTGTACGGCAACGATACACAACCTCATATAGCCTATGCTCTGGTAAATATTCCTGGCCACCTATCTGCCGAGTGGCGTCGTACAAATCGCGGACGACTTCCGAGTGACTACGCACCGGGGCTGAGCGATATCCGCCATTGGATACGGCGAAAAAGTACAGGGTACGGCACGAATTACCGGGTACGGCTTGAAATTTTCGCGGGTACGGCACGAATTTCCGGGTACGGCCAGACGTTTTGAGCGGGAACGTCTTGAATTTCCGGGTACGGCTTGAAAGGAGTTTGATGGGGGTGGTATAGTGTGACTTATAAATGCCGCAAAAGGCCAGCATGTTCCGGCTTGTCGTTAAAGTCGCTATGCCTATGTATCACCGCAAATTCACAATACAAATGTACCAGCTTTGTATTCCTGTGGTTTAGCAGCATTTTTTTGGGCTGGATTTTTTTTTTAATTCGCCAGCGCGCACTAGTTTTGGGGGGTCTTCAGAGGATGTTATCCATAAAATTAAGTCGTTATGAAAGTAGTTATCGGTAATTTATCGCTAAGACCTTATCTTAAAACTTTAACCAAAAATAGTAACGTTTTTAACTATCAACTAAGCAGAACTAATTATGCGAATGCTTCACTGAAATAACAGCGAAAATAAGCGTAAAGCAATTACAGAGATAAGAGGAAAGAGACGTACTTTGCTAGAGGCAGATTTTAAACGAGTTCCTTTATTAGCATTTACGTAACGTTAACTAGTTGTTCATTGAAGGGAGGGCCAAACTTTCAGCACCAAGGACAGTTCTGTTCACATTATGTATCAACATTCGGGGACCGGCGTTTGTGTGAATGTATGTGTGTGTGTGTGTGTGTGTGTGTGTGTGTGTGTGTGTGTGTGTGTGTGTGTGTGTGTGTGTGTGTGAGTGTGTACATGTGTGTGTGTGTGTGTGTGAAAATGTCATAGTGGCGTAGTTTTGCTACTTTATGTAGAAATTCTACCGAATACAGTGCACTTCTATTTGTACATACAGACATACTTCAGCATTTTTACGGGTACTCTTTGCAACTTTACAGATATATGCTAAACAACTTTACAAGTATGCCCATAAAATTGCTAAATCCGCACATAGAACCCTTAAGTGTACCTGTAAAATGCTAAGTATGTCCATAAAATTGCTGAGTACGCAAATAAAATTGCACTTTATCCAGTAAAACTCTACATTCGACAAAATTGCTCATTATATGACGTGGGACTTGACATGTCGAATATGTAATGACGAATAACGTGCTTCTTTGACAAGCTTCTCTAGCAAGCTTTACGATTCGGGCTTTTCGGAGCTTATAATATCATGTTTTTGTCGCAAGTCTACGTACTAGTAACTTAGACAAGGGGTGGGTGGGGTTTAGTCGTTATATGGGAGATTAAACCTAACCTAACTTAACCTAACCCAACCTAACCCAACCCAACCCAACCTAACCCAACCCAACCCAACCCAACCCAACCCAACCCAACCCAACCTAACCATCTAACCCCAATCGTAAGCCTAACGCCAGCCCTGAACAATGATCCCAACTCTAAGCCTAACTCTAATACTAACCCTAACCCTGAACGCCTGACCTCTCGCGTATGTGGCAGCTCAAGGATTTGGCTCAACACCCGGCCGGGCTGTTTGCATGAATGAAAAATAAACAGTTGTAACCTTAGCAAAAAGAACTAACTTTTTGACACGTCTTTCTCCCATCCAGGCGTGTTCCTGTTCTGTTGGCTGCCATTTTTCGTGGCGAACGTCCTGCAAGCCTGCCAAAGCTGCCAGGTCTCACCGACCATGTTTTCTGTTCTCACATGGCTGGGATACGTGAACAGTGCTGTCAACCCTGTCATATATACCATCTTCAACCCCGAGTTCAAGAAAGCGTTCAAGAAGATTCTGTTCTGTAGAGAACCTAGCAGGAGAGTTCGCTAGTATTTCAGAAAACTCCGGACTAGTGACTTGCTTGTCTCTTCTATAAATGTTGTCATAGTGGGGTCGCTAACAGTGCAGTCAACCCTGTCATATACACCATCTTCAACCCCGAGTTCAAGAAGGCTTTCAAGAAGATTCTGTTCTGTGGAGAACCCAGCCGGAGAGTGCGATAGTATTTCATCAGAAAACTCTGGACTTGTGACTTACGTACTTGTACTTGACTTTCATCAGCATGAGAGCTCATCTGTGTTGGCACGTACATTCCATGATGAAGCTAATACTTTCATTCAACCTGAATGTGTTCAAGAAGATCCTGTTCTTTAGAGATCCTAGCAAGGGAGTTCGTTAGTATTTCAGATGGCTCTGGACTATAGCTAGCGACTTACTTGCTCGACTTTTATTAGCACGAAAGCTCAAACTTGTGAATATATTAGATCAGTTTTAAATTATCTGTAAAAAACGTATGCAATTCAGCCTGTGGCTGTGACATGATTTTAATCACTAGTCATAATGATCATAGAAAACCGTTCATTCATGCTATCATGAAAGTTTATCTGTGTTGGTAGTTACATGTTTCAAGTTAAAACTTTTGTTCCAACACAAAGGATTGTTCTCACCTAGAGCTTTTGGCCAGTCACTCTGGTCTTCCTCAGTAGACTGACCCAGTGAGGCTTGTCACGTGACTTCTCTGAAGTGTGACGAAAGCACTGGTTCAGTCTATTGAACTCGTGTTAGAACAAAAGTTTTAACTTTACACATTGATTAATTAATTCAATGGCATATAAGTCCTTCACAGGGTAGCAGCTTATAAATATTCCCCGAAAGGAAATATTCTGTATAAAGTTGGAAGATATAAAGATATATTATCAAAAGAATCTACTTTGACACAAAGCAAGTTATTGTACAGCACAATGAAGAGTGTATAAACTGTGTGTATTTTGATAGTGAAGTGATTTGAAAGTTCGTAAATATTTAAACCAACTATTAACAAGACTACAAAAAGTGTTATAAAAAGATTTGATTCTGACTCAGGTAGTAACGATACAGAATATCCAACGTACCAAATATCTAGTTTTCCAAAAATATCTTTATTGACAAAAGATACTAGAGCAAAAGATGTTTGACAACACACATGTACTTGATATATAATTTCTGCATTATAATCATTAGTCTACTTCAGATTAGCTATTTATCATAATTGTCATATGAATATTAAGCAATCTGTAACCTAATATTTTGCCATAAATTGCAGTAATACTAGTATATAGTTTGTTCAGAATTGCTTGTAATTGTATGTACTATATACATGTACATGTGATGCGGTCACATGAATGTAATTATAGTCTATTGACATATAGGACTGTTGTCATTTAAGGATACAGTGGAAGGGGATTTTACAAAATTGTACATTCTCTTCTTTTTCTGCAACATGTTGATTTTTAGGCACTGAAAGAACTACGAAGGAAAAGAGGAACTGCAAAGTTGTAGAGACATACATGTACAATGTCATGTAAAAGCTGCTATAGAAATTAAAACTTTAGTCATTCAATTACTAGTACATTGCCATTGTTGTAACATGAACAACATATTGCATAAAATTTAATATCTAACCTTCTACTTGCTGAGTTATATGCAGACGTCAGCATATTTACACCTAGCTCACAGCAGTCAGAGGAACTCTTTTAGAGAGGAATACAAACACTCCAGTAACCAGAATTTCTTATAAGGCACTTTGTTCCAATATTTGTACAAAAACACAGCATTTTACAATCTTCTTTTAGTTAATAAGTATATTTTAACTTGTCTATGAAATACCCTATGTACAATCTCAAAATATACACATATTGCCAAAGATTACAAAAACTATTATATATATTATATAATATTACTTAGAGTTTAAGTCCCTATGACTGTTTCATAACTGTCAACCTCAAAACATGAGATTTATTTATTGCAAATACAATGTAGTATTACATTGGCACACTTAAAGGGGAACTTGCACTTCATAAAAAAAGCAACCAACTTCAGAAATCTACGTGTAACATTTCATAATTATGCATAAAAGAATATTGCAGAAAAGAGCTTACAACAACAAACTGTGATAGTAAAGTTTCATTCAAGTTGCACTGAAAATTGCACTATAAATTTGCCATGTAAATGTAAGTAACTAAAGACAACATTTTCTTGACTAGATACATTCAATTTGACACTTTGGTAGCTGCCTTCAAAATAGATACTCCCATCACCAGGAACAACAATACCACATGTACAGTACTAGTTATGTACATGTACCATACACTATAGCTATAACCATAGACACCACACTCTGATACAGTAATACTACATGTGCTCTCCAAGGCTTGTTTTGTGTGTTTTTTTAGTTGCTTTTGAAAGACAAAGTGGTGAGTATTAACAGTCTCCTAGCTCCTAGGATTTGAACCCGCATTGAACCCAGGCTGCCAGCTCACAAAGCTGACATCCTAACTGCTAGGCTAAAAGGTCTGGGCCAGTGATCAGTTGGTGGCACTCGAATTAAACTGTTACACTACTCCATCCCCCTTTTCTTTTTTCAGATTCACAGGTGGTACTTCTTGTATTACATCTTACAGCACCTCTTCTCCCTCACGGCTTCCTCCAGGTTCAGAGCTTTCTCCATCTGCTGATCCTCCTTTTCACACAGTTTTCTGGGAAAGATAGTCAAAATCTGAATCACTTTTACAAATCCTGACAATTTTGTTTTCATCAATTGTCTCATGATTAAACGTTTTACTGCTAGTTGCTTTATTTCAGTAACTGTTGTTACACCTACAATGTTTAATGATCTTCAAATTCTAACAAGAAAAAGTCTAGGATCTTTTCATCTTCCCCTGTTCCAGAAAAAAGAACTTCAAGCCAAACCCAACAGGTTAGTATTTACAGTTAGCCTTTAGACAAGAGTAGTTACTGTACATGTTTTATTGTTTTTCATTACGCATTTTTTTTACAGTCAGTGGATGATGATGATGATGCATATTTTTTTATGTTACTTGCAACTACATGTTGCCTTTGGGGAAGAACTTGCAATAAACTAAGACAATAAAAGAATTCCTCAGTATGATAAAGGCCATTCTAAGGTAGCTAGACAGTTACGTACCCTGCCATGTGTAGTATAGCTTCAGTGATGTTCACTCCAGTCTTGGCACTGCTCTCAAAGAACAAGGCATCATATTCCTACAGAGGAAAGAAAAACAGTCATTCAAAATACTTTTAGTAAATGTTTTCATATCATACCTGGGTTGTGGTCCTGGCCTGTGTGATAACTACCTATATCACACAGGCTTCCAAATGTTTCATAGGGTACATGTATTTGGATTATACATTGTATTTTGTGTGCACTGCTTTCGAAAATTCAAATACCAGATTCAAGTTAAAGTCAGACTTAGTCAAAATTAATGTTATTTTGGACAATAATTGTTATAATCTATGGAAACATTATCACTGTAATCAGATTTAGATCTTGACCTGCACTGACCTGTGCCAGTCGTTTTGCGACGTGACTTTTGACCCCTGACAGGTCGTTGTCCAGGAGAAGGTCGACCTTGTTCCCCACCAGCATCAGCACGGTGTCGTCTGATGTTCCCTCCTGGTTGGATCAAAGTGGGGAGGAAACAAGAAGGCCATCGTGAGCAAGTTGAATAGCACAGTTATTCACAACCACTTGTTTAAAGACATCCAATACAATTTTAGCCTAACCCAAAGTTGGATAGAACAAACTCAGCTAGTACATGAGGTATTAGAAAGGAAAAGATGTCCCTCATCCATAGCTGTATATCCCTGAATCAGGATGGTAAGTCACTGAACGACTTTAAGTTAGTATTTGATTCAGCCAATGTTTCGTTGACCGTCTGTCACCTTCCTCAGGGCAGTTCTGACTGGGCCCATTTTGCACTGCAGCACAGGTGACGCTGCTATAGATGCATTCCCAAATGTACAATATTTACATATCTACATGTACACAGTTACAAAAACATGTGATATATGTAACGTAAGTTAAGCCACACACTAATTGAGATCCAAATAACACAAACAAACAAACCTGTATGCTCTCCATCCAGCTGCGTACGCTAGTAAAGGTTGGTTCTGCCGATACGTCGTACATGATGATCACTCCGTCTGCTTTACGGAAGTACGACTTGGTGATGCTCCGGAACCTTACACACAAGGGCAGAAAAACATGCTCACTGTACAGTCAACACTGCCCAAGAAGACCACTTTGGAAACCTTAATGTTGAAAAATTACAGTCCAAACTGTCCAAGAAGACCACTCATGATCAGGGTCCAATTGGACACTGACCTTAAAACCTCAATATTGAAATACAAGCCAAACTGTCCAAGAGACCACTAAGGGGACCAATAAAATCTGGTCTATGTGGACAGGTGTCCACTGTAGACGGGATTTTTAATAGTAATTTGTCAAAATCACCTACGGTACCACCAAGTGTGGTCACATTGGCCAGGTGGTCCTTATGTAGAGATGGTCACCAGTACAAGTTTGACTGCAATTTAAATAGCTTTTGAACTTATTTAACTTGTCCATGTGCATAGACCAAAACTGTGGTCACTGACTGAAACTGGCTATGGTACATGTAGTTTTGCACTTTTTGTCAGCACACATGCAGTACAAACAAGCTAAGCTAGGAGGCGCACCTTTCCTGTCCAGCAGTGTCCCACAGTTGCATAGTGATCTTCTGGTTCTTTGCTACCACTGTCTTCAGATGGAAGTCCACACCTGAATAAAAATAAATATAATATGGTCATACAAATTTATAATAGTAGAATTAAATTATCATATTTTTGTACAATATTCTGTCTACTTTCCCCATTTGTGTTCCCTTATAAGTAAACATAAATTTCACGAGACAATGTAACAATTTTGACACCAACACATGCATTGTACATGTAAGGTCTAACTTAACTTTTGGTTTAGTAACTATTTGGCCTGTTATCAGGTCCATGATATAATGATTTTTAAGAAAAACATCACATTTCTGTGTATCATTAAATGATAGCTTCTTCTACAAATCCATGTTACTTTCTTTACTTTCTCTGAATGAATTATAATACCTTAAAGATACAACATGTACATTTTATGATATGACTGTATTAACAAATTGTCCTGTATAACTTTTTTTTCTGTGCAATATTACAGACAGATTGACCATTGTACAACTTGTCCTGTATGCTGACATCCATACCTATGGTAGATGAAAATGCTGACATCCATACCTATGGTAGATGAGAATGTAGCCTTGTAGTCATCATGACAGACCCTGTAGATGAAGGTACTTTTCCCCACACCAGAGTCTCCAACAAACACCACCTTAAACATGCGAGCAGGGCCGGCTGGGTCCTGGGGGTAAATAAATAAGATGATTGTAAATTCTTGACCAAAGACTAATATTGCAAGTAGCATGAAAAAAGGAACAAACAATACTGACGATAAATTAATTAGGTTTGACTTTTTTAATCAGTAGAAGGCGCAATGAAATAAAATAAAATAAATTAAAATTAAAATCATAGAAGGATCACTTTTTTTCTCAAATGTGTGGATTAGGAGAGTGGAATATTTTAAACTTCTACCACCAGCAATTTCAAGAGGGCAATTTACAATACAGCAATTTGAAATCAAATTGACTGCTGTAAAGCTGTTTCAGCACATTGTCAGTATTTTTAGAAACAAAAATAATCTACAGTAACTGTTAAGAAAAAAAAACAGCTTACCTGTTCGGTAGTGGTGCTGCTGACTGTATTCCCTCCCACCGGCTGTCCCCTCGGCTCACCAATATCAAACATTTCCTCCTCGCTGTTCTCTACACTATCCCTTGTTCCCGCTACGCTATCCCTCGTTCCCGCTACGCTATCCGATAAGTCACCATGCTGCTCTTCTGCTACTATCCTCGACTGCCGTGAAAGCTGTCTGGACGGATGTCGTCTACTGAAACTACGCTCTACGGTTGGATTATTTGATTGGAGATCGGCTGAAATCACGTCCGTTGATGAATCTTTGTCCTCATCAAAAGAACTCTGCGTCAATTCTTCCATGATTACGTCATATTCTATCCCATCATCCTCTATTTCCAGGGGGTCTAAGTGCGAGGGGAAGCTGTCTTTCCTGCAAGAACAAAAAAAAAAAAATTAGCAAAAAAAGAACTTCAAGCTTTTTAACTGTTATTACAGAATTAAAAGGTTTTATAGCATTTTAAGAGCAACTTTGAATTGAAAGCATAATGATAATTGTTTTAGATTGTAGTTAGTCTATTCAAGAGGTGAGTAATGTAATGTTACCTTGAATTAATAATTATTATTAAATAGTGTTCATGTAGCAAGACTACCACGGTGACCATAGTCACAAAGTTTTTCCATTTTAGCATTAATCTTTGAATAAGGGCCTTAAAGAGAGATCTTATTGCATCTAATTGATAGAAAAATGCACCCCACAAAACACCAACAGATACAAAGAAACAATTTAGAAAGAAAATTTATCATGAAGAATGTGAGAATGTGTTAAAAGAAGACACGAAATGTTAGTTGCAAACGTAAACACAAACACCAACGAAAAAGGGGCACCTCCCGACACTAGATGCAGGTAGGTATTTACTGAGAGACGAGCCTTGTCTGGCCAGCTGGGATGGTTTGGTCGTCATGGTAACAGACTCATCACGTTCCTCACCTCGACTGCTCTGTGGGGGGGAAAAGGAAGATTTTAGTCTGTGATACTTTAAAATAAGACAGATCTCACCTTCCTGAACTGACTGTGGTACTAGTAAGCATTTTTTATGTATAATGTATAAGATATACGTCTTGTAATTTATATATCTAATAGTATCTATTTTATATCTGTATAGCAATCTTTCATCTTGCATTCATGATTGTGTACATTGCAATAAATATGACTTTTAACCCCCTTAAAACGCTGCATTATTCCATCACTGCATGATTAGCCATTCTAACATCCCCTCCCCACACAATTCTTCATTCATGTAATGATTGCAACCATATATTAGGATTAAGTAACAGACATTTTACTCAGTTTCTGCAGGATACACAAATGTCATACCTTTCTTATTGTTTCATATGCATCTTTGTCATCTCTGAGCTTTTGGTTCATATTCCTGAAGAAAAAATTGGAGAAATTTATTACAAAACATTAGCAGAATAAAATAAAAATATTCAATAAAGGGTTACATGTACTAGGTGGAGTGAGGAAAGTTGTGTAAAGTACCTATCCAAGGGGCCCAACTTATAGCCTGAGGAATACCAGGAATCGAACCCATGACCTATTGATCTCATGTCTGCTAGCCTAGCCATTTGAAAATTCAATGCCACTGTAAATAATTACTATACATAATTACACTATAATATGATAACTATTGTGCTTACTTGAGGAGGTCGAGCTGCTTGACTAGACTTTCTCTCTCCTTCACCATCCCTGCTGTCACTCTCCACGCAGTCCTGAAAACAAAACATACAAATTCAGAATTTCAGTAGGTAGAAAAGACGCTAAGTCCTGCACTTACAATATATTCATCTAGAAGGCGTCATATATACTAACAACAATACATTAGTTGATATTCTTGCCAACTGACAATTTATATAGAAAATTTTAAAATGTAATGTTTTCCATGCTGATGCAAATTTCAGTCTACGTCTATGGTAACTTTTCTACATTAGTCAAACATCATCTGAAGGTAGAAAAGAGGGATGGACGTAGGAAGATAGGGGGGGGGGCAGTGTCATACCTGGTTTTCTGTTTTCTCTCAGTGTCAGCCTTTTGTTGCCATTCCTGTACCTCAGCCATGGCTCCCTTCAGTCCACTCAGGGAACTGTGCAGCTTACTCTCTAGTGCTGCGTTAGTCTGTGGGGGAAACAGAACAGTCAAAACCCTAACATTAACACTGTTATCAGTGTTAATTACCTGAATATGAGAAAAAGTATGGGAAGGTCAAACACACAACACTACCAGCGGGCTAGCCTCCTGCTGTAGTGCTTGCACAACTGTGTGGCCTAAGGGCTACTGAAATGGAATTGGCACCACCCCTATGCTCTGCACAGAGTGGAGAAGGGACCTTGTACTAACTAACCTGTAAAATGTTAGCATCTAGGTTGGTGAAGGCTAGACATCCAGGTAATAAGATATGCCAAAAAGCAGTTACTGAAGCAACTGGATATGATGTTTTACTGTGACCGTTTCCAAAATCATATCCAGTTGCTTGTCAATGAGTAACTGATTTTTGGCATGTTAGCATCTAGACTGTTAAATGCCCAGTGATCCTACCTGGTAGTCACACCTGATGCGTACGGCTTTCATGTGCAGGAAGCGGCAGTACAGCCATGCCAACACACAGAACTTCACAGAACACTCCAGCAGTTCTACCATCGTCATGACAACCAGGCCTACATCTATGGTCAGTTTCATCTCCATGGTGACAGGGGCTACAGACATGCTTCTTTGCTAACACTAGAAATGTTTGTGGTCGTATGATTCAAACTGCTGTTTTAGACCAGTATTTAAATCAGTGATCCGTATATGGAACAAACCATTTTGCTGCAGAAGGGGCACTACTTATTTCCATAAAAACTGACGATAATCATAACATAATAATACAATGACATTAAAAAATTACAGGTTACGTCTCCTGTTAAAAATGTAACGTTAAGAAAAATTATGGGCTTAAAATTCTAGCTTGTTTTTGAGCATAATATTCTGTAACAACCCTACTAGGCTGGTTATGGTATAGTCCTGTTAAGGTGGGCTTGTCACCTGTCCAACTACTTACCTCATTTGCATACTGTGTTCAGAGCTGTCATGTTGTTTATAGTACAGGCACATCCGGTATTTGTACTAACAACAGTTATACTGGCTGAGAGCCAAATAACAGAGATCTGAATCAGATGTATTTTCAGCCTTGACATCACGCTAAATCAAGAAACTTATTCTTCTTATCCGAGTTTTACGTCTATTGATTCCCAGAATCGGGGGTATAGACGTGCTTGCACAGGTGCATGTTTGGGCTTGTCATTTTGCCCCTCAGCATGCTGAGGTGCAGAACAGCAAGCCTGTGCAAGTCTTTTTTGAAGCAAGGTTTTTACTGACTGGATGCTCTTCCTAACGTCAAACTCTAAAGTTTTTGACAGCTTGCAGAGACTGGCTGTATGAGGAAAAGTGTGTTAAGTGCCTTTCCCAAGGGCACAACATCGGGGTATGTAGTAGGTGGATTTGAACCCAGGGCCCCTGGTTCCCGGGCCAAAAGCCCTACCACTATACCACACGACGCCACACCATTATTATAAGGTACAATTTTTAAAGGTTTAAACTTTGTTCCTATTCAAAAACTGAGAGTGATTTTGAATTATGAAAAATTAGGACAGTGACTCTGGTATCATGATCAAAGTTATAATAACTCAATAACACAATCAGGCATCTGGTATGTTATTTGCCAAATATTACTTGTAATAATTGCATGGTCATAATTATTCTGTTCCAGGGAACTTTATGACCCTATCTTTCACACAAAATTTACAAATGCTACATGTACCGTAAGAATGTTTCTAAACTTCATTTAGACCTATAAATGTCACAAGAGAGTCATCTATAAACATGCCAGGTGCATGTAGCTATTTGGGAATTGCCAAGTCAAATGTTGTCAAAAATCTACAAAAATTTATGAGCACTTGATACCAAATATTTATTGTGTTCTTGTACTGTTGCACTTTTCAAGAGCTTGTCAAATATTACAGTTCATGTTCCAGTAATAAACCATATGGAGTTTGTCAGTTTTGTGACCACTAGGAAAACACAGTTACTGTTATATATGTGGGGGGGGGGTGCCCAACTAAATATAGGACTTATCAATAAGTGTATTACACCTATTCTTGACATTCTCATGTTGCCAAGTTTTCAATCAAGCACATGATGTAACTGACTTATAAGATGTTTCATTTCAATCTGTTGGCACCAGTCAATGTTCCAGGTTATAGCAATGGACAGTTTAACAGGTTTAACTTAAAAAAAGTTGAAAGCCTTCCCAACACCATTAGCATGGTAGAATATGGCAGTGCCCATCTCCGTTTTGTAGCCCTTGGGCCACACAGTTGTGCAAGGACTAAAGCAGGGGACTAGTCCACTAGTAGTGGTGTGTGTTCAACTCCCATTTTCTTTCTCAAATGCTAAACCTCTGGATACTGCAACAATGTAGCATAGATTCAACTTGGCAAGAATCAGCAGGTCCAGTGTGCAACAACAGCTGGGATCATTGGAACTCCCAACCTCTTGGTCCAGAGACAGGGTCCCTTAAACCAATGGACTACACACACTACAGCATACACTCCCTTACCTGTGTAAGACTCAGGTTCAGCTGTTTGGTCTGGGTTTCTGATAGATTCAACTCCTGCAGTTTCTGTTCCAACTGTAAGCAAGTAAAAACAGAAAATCGGTAAATATGAAAACATCAATAACCACATTTGCCTTAGTTAAAAAAATGTGGGAAATTGCATTTTTAAAGGCTTGAAAGTCCAAACTTTGTCACAGACCCCCACCCCCTAGATTGTGAGCTGCTCCACCAGGTCTGATCATGAACCTGGCCTGACCCCCCAAAAAATAATTGAGCTGGCTACAGTCTTGGGATATCCCAACATAACATTTACATTTCATTGGAAAATACTATACCCACATACCTGTCTCTGCCTCATCAGTATATCATGTAGCTGGTTGTCCTTGGCCTCCAGTTCCATCCTCAGGTCTTCATATGCCTGCTTTTCTTTGGATTTTTCCTGACAATAGACGGAACAAAGTTTAAAAAACAATGATGCAATGTTGACCAAACATCCAACGGAAATTGAGAAAAATCAGGGTTTTGCACAGACACAGTACGTTCTGCTGACGTGCCACTGTAGGTTAGATTTGTAGTTTACCTCTGACTTCATTTTCTCTTTCTCCATCCTGATCTGTTGTTCCATCTCTTCATATAGACGCTGGACTTCCTCATCATGCTCATTAGATTTACTGGGAAACAAACAGAAACTCAAAATCAACAATTCAAGGTCCCTACTGGTTAACAACTGTCTTCAAGTTGGTAGCTACGGAGGACGGCACCCAGGCTACCGAGGATCCATGGAACTTCAGAAATCAGTACAGTGCTGACTCATAAATGCCTCAAAGGTTGCTATATATAATTATTATGTACTACGGTAACTGCAAATGTGCAGCTTTGAATTCTTGTGTGATTCTTTTTTTTGCCCTCTCCTATTAGTTTTGGGTCTCCAGATGATGTCACCTGGAAAATTAAGCCAATGTAATGTGGCCTAACTGTTGCACGGCCTGCTTCTCCTATTGGGTCAGTTAGTCCTCACTACTTGTGAGGATGTTTCTGACTCAGGGAGAAGAGTTGCTGTTACAGTTCTATACCCCTAGCTCTATGCCTAGAAGTGGCCAATGGCCTTGCATTGAGCGACACCGTTAAAAAAAAAAAAAAAAACAAGCCTCTCAGTTACCTTCTCAAGACATCTTCCAGTCTGTGATGCTCCTGCTGTTTAGACTTGAGATCCCCGGCCACCTTCCGGAGGAAGTCTTCAAAGTTCTCCAGGAGTTCTGGGCTGCTGAGGTTCAGCTGTAGCCACATCTCTCTCACACGCTCATGGCTGGACGGCAGTACAGCAAAATGACTGACAGTGTTAGTTCTACCTCACAGAGCTCTGTGAATAGTTTCATCAGGTTGGAAAGTCACTGAGTAAAGACTCTTTTTACACAAATACACAAAGTCTTTTATTCAGCTGATGTTTCCGTGACCCTCTGTCACCTTCCTCAGGGCAATTCTGACTGGTTCACATTGCGTTACAGCACATGTGATATCAAAATGGTCAGAATTGCCATGAGGAAGGTGACAGACAGTCACCGAAACGTCAGCTGAATAAAAGACTTGGTTGTGTAAAAAGAGTCTCTTTACTCAACTGTATTAGTTCTAGTGTTCTTTGCTCCAACACTCTGTGCTATATGCTACAGTTTAAAGCATATATTGTGTGGCAAAAAATGCTTTCTTGGTTTGTCTGGAATGCGACTCACTTCTCCAGCATGCTTGTATCTATCTCCAGACTGTCCATAAACTCCTGGAACTTCTGCACCGCCTGGTCCTCCCCTTCCTCAGCCTCATACACCTGTACAGGCAGGGAGTCCTCCTCCAGGCTACTGGTCTGATCAAACCCCAGGAAACAGCCTGGACACAACAGCACAGGTTTCAGCACTTGGATACGTGGACACACAACAACACAACTTTCAGAACTTGTTCATTAAAGACAGTGTATATAACATGCTCGTAGCCAGGATTTTGAAGGGAGGGGGGTCCTTCTCACTGTCTGAGGGACCAGTGAGCACCAAAGGCACAAGCTTCCTCCACGTAAAGCGTAATTTCTTTGGGTGTTTTTCTGGGAACAGGCCAAAATCATTGATAGAAATTACATCGTATGGCCTTACCGAATCCGTCAGTAAACTCCTGCATGGTCAGAAAACCATTCCCGTCCTGGTCCAGGTGATCAAACACATCCTCCAGCTGGTCTGGGCTTAAGGGAAGTTCAGGGACCAGCCTCTGCATGGAGACAAACAACATCTGAGTTTAGAAGGAAAAAATCAATAAAATTTTGTTTAAGAGATTCAAATTGAGAAGAAAAGTGTTCCGAAACATGACGGTTGTTTTTTCAATCAACATACATGACTGTATGTATGTGGTTTGTTCACTGACAGATTATCAAAACTTGCAACATTTTGTGTGTACATTTGGAATGTACTATTATATAGAAGACAATGTTGTACTCACCTTGTTATAGTAACGTCTAAATATTTACAGTTGTTAGGCTATTACCAACATCGAAATATTTGTATTTGAACTTAGTATTTGTTGCTTGTACAATGTGTACCTTAGGTACAGTTTGAAACTTTTGTGTTTCCAACTCTCTTTGGAATGTTCAATGCAAGACAAGCATGTTTTACCCTTATGTTATAGTTACACATAAACAGTTACAATCATTTGGCTATTACCAAGTGTATACAAGGGGTGGCAGCCTTAGTTACGTAATAAACACACGTCAATCTAAATATATCTTGATGTTTAAAGATGCCCAATGAGTTTTGAGTGCCAAAACCACAACTTCATGGTTGAACAAGCCAGTGGCTTTGTAGAAGAAAACCCCAATGTCGTATGTTCTACCAACCTGATGAAAATATTTTCTGCTGTAAACTGTAATACCAATATCACCTGCGTGTGAGCGAGTGTGCGTGTGAGCGAGTGAGTGAAGAGTGAGTGAGTGAGCAAGTGAGTGAGTGAAGAGTGAGTGAGTGAGTGAATGTGTGTGTGTGCGTGAGTGAGTGTGTGAGTGAGTGTGTAAGTGTATGTGTGAGTGAGTAAGCGAGTGAGTGAGTGAAGAGTGAGCGAGTGAGTGAATGTGTGTGAGTGCGTGAGTGTGTGAGTAAGTGTATGTGTGAGTGAGTGAGTGTGTGAGTGAGTGAGTGAGTGAGTGAGTGTGTGAGTGAGCGAGTGAGTGAATGTGTGTGAGTGCGTGAGTGTGTGAGTAAGTGTATGTGTGAGTGAGTGAGTGAGTGAGTGAGTGAGTGAGTTAGTTAGTTAGTGAGTGAGTGAGTGAGTGACTGAGTGACTGAGTGAGTGACTGAGTGACTGAGTGACTGAGTGACTGAGTGAGTGAATGACATTACCTGCATGTCCCGTTTAGTGATGAAGCCCTTTGCTTCCTTGTCACACAGAGAGAAGAGTTCCTGAGCCTTCTGTACCATCATTTCCTGTAGCTCCTCTGTAGACAGGGACACGTCAGGGGATGACTGGGGGGGGGAATTTACAGAAAAATCAGTCATTATTGTGAGTAGGAATATAGCTACTAGATAGGTAAGTACATTGTAGCATTTCTGCAAAACTGACTATGATACCTGCATGAAACCAAGGAGGTTGAATACATTTAACCTCCTTGGTGAAACATTCATGAAGCACGACCATTTCACAATCCAGTTAACTTAAAGTTTATAGTTCAGTGGATTCATTCCTCAAGCTAATCAACATCTTGCACATGGAGTCTTCTCTCAGTAAGACATCTGGAGCTGCAAATAAAGTTCCCTTTTTAGAACTTTTATTCAGGTTACCTGACACACATTTCACAGTTGTTACAGTATTATATTTTCTCCTTACCTCAGTGACAATGGGACAAGCTTAAGCTTCAAGGTTACCTACATGTACATTATGTATATCACATAAAAATGTACAGTGGGCTGATTGTCCTATAGACAATATAAATGGAAACAGCCCCAAAATCCATGTCACATGTGGTTATCATGTATAATAAAGCTTCTGTGGCCAGTTTGTCCATCAATGAACTCTTTGTGTCCTTCCCTCAGCTGTTACAACATTTATGTGTGTCCATCTTTAACTCTTTTGTGCACCAAAATGGGTTAAATCTATTTGACTGGAATCCATTCTTACAACCTGCACAGGGATTACAGTCATCATACATACCTGGGAGTTAAAGTTTAACTTCTGTCTGAGGCCATAAAGCAATTAAGTTGATTGGTTGTCTGAGAATATTAGAAATGTCAAATTGTTTAGAACAGATCTTGCTATATATACACTCTAATCTTGCTATATATACACTAGTATATACATAATATGTATAATATGTACCAAATTACACATGTACATTAAAGTATTAGCTTGCATAAACTCAGTGTTACATTCACTATCATTCACCCTTGTCCTTGACAAACTACTTAGTACACCTATAAATCCACACCCACACCCACGCATACTACAGGGCCTGTATGGGGGGTAGTGATTACAAATTACGTACAATTTTCACCGCTGATACTAGCAACAAATTACGTTAAATTCTCAGAGCTGATTATGAACCATTACACATTACAGCTAATGTACTGACTATGAATTACTATAATTTTGGGAGACTGCCTACGGATTACGAAAACTAAATGCCTGATTACGCCTACCCTAGATGCCAGAATACACCGGGTCCTGGCCGATTTCTCTTGGCAGGGCTGCCAAAACTCCCTGGCCGGCTGAATTGTGTTACGCAACTTACATGCCAAAGAGAACCAGGACCTGCTGTATTCTGGCATCCAGGGTAGATTACGCCTTATGAAAAAGGGCATGCAGGCCCTCGTACACCCACACATACTAACCTGAGAGGCTGCCATGTTTGCAGTGCACTTGTAGGCAGGATACGTCCTGAGATGACGGTGTTCCTGCGTAGGTGAAGTGAACACAAACACTGAGGCTGTCACCATGTCATACCGATCAATGACACTGTCTAAACAGGAAATATACAACACACACAACAGCTGGCTGCTTCTCATTTGTGTTCCCGTCTCATTCATTCTGGCACTAATGCTTTAACAAACACTCCTGCATAGAAAATTGCCGAATAAATTGCATAAGAAGTTGGCACTTGAGTTCCCATGTATAGTTTTGTTCCCAAGTGAAACAAGAATGTGGTCTAGCTATAGCTACCTGCCTTTTTCTACCTTGTCAAGTGTCTCTCAAAAGGAATTTTTAGATCAATGAAGCTTACCATTACAGACAAAAGTTAGTGGTTTGGACGCATTTCTTTTGAAGGCCTGAGAATTCACACAGAACCACACTGAACACTGATCAATGTTTGACCCAATATTTCATATCATCACTTAAACAAAGGATTTTGCTAAACAATCATATCTGGCTACCAAATACTTTAAGTTCTGAGTCAACATGACAAGAGATGCAAAATTTAGATTAAAACGTGGCATACAAAAGTTCAGGAAAAAAACAAAGTTGTACAATCATATAGGTTCATTTTCAATTAATGTAGATTTATCTCAATAGATTTAATCTAATTAAAATTTTGTACCAGGATGAGAATCTATGAATTGATTGAAGTGTTGAATCATATTTACTTTATACTATAATGGAATAAATGTATTCTCTACATATTTAAAGCATGAATTATTTCATTCAAATCAAATATGTGCACTGACCGGACTTAAATTATTGATAGATGGCTTGCCTTTGTCACATTACAATCACGAATTACATGTTTTTTTTTTACCAGATCTATTTTAGCTACCAACAAAGTCTTTATCCCCTCCAGATTCGTGACCTAAAATAGGACTTGTAACCAGGCTAATTTTATTGTTTTTCCTCTATCATGTAAAAAGTTTCCTGGTAAAATCAAAGTCTATTAAGCTATTCTTCCTTTGCAATATTTGTCGAGCCCTAAATCCAAATCCTCAGTTCTTTGCAGGAGAGCTTGTACAAAGGCTAACACGGCTCAGGATTTCTCTCTGTTGTTTTTTACAGCTTCAAATCAAACCCGTGAAATGTCACATCGGATCTTAATGCCCTTTTATCTAATGGTAAATGCAGCAGCGTTGAATGTTAAGGCCATTATAAAACAAGAACGTATGATGGAAAAAAAAACATTCCCTGATCTTTAAAATAGGGAATGAATCTGAACTGGCTGAAAAAAATGTTTTTAAGTCCTTTTTCTAACCCAATAAAATTAAGATCCTGTGACCACGCCCACCCTTAAACAACAAACACTATCCACACAATGTTATATTCTGCAATTGGCCATTATAAAACCAAACTGTTGCTCTTTTCGTTCCAGTTTTGCCTACTAAATCTAGACAAAAATGTGGGCAACGGCCCAACCCCTTTGTACAAATTAAATACCGTGACTGGCGAGGTCTTACCTTTAAGCGTACCGTTAACTTAATTAGCAAAACAACGGTCCCCCCTTTCTTACCTTTACACAACCGCCAAACACCTTGGTCGCTCTAAACCCGAAGAAATGTGGCTTCTTGCGTTTAAGACGAGGAATTTCTGTGCTCTGTGGGTCTGGGTACAGGGTATGGACAATGGCTGCCGCTGGAGCTAAGCAAACAGCGGCACTACACCTGAAAGAAGTGCAAACAAACCCCCACCCTTACCGGTACACGTTTACCCAGAACTCATGGATCAAACAAACTTCACAGGAAAGTTCAGAAAGGCGGCGCCCAACAAAAATAGGGGTGTCAGCTGATATTTAAATCCTAAAATTTAAAATAAAAACAGTACGTTACAAAATTTAAAAATGTTACTCTTGTACTTTCATTTAATTAACCGATATTTATCTTATCTATGTTATTTGAATATCATTTACCTGAAATTATAGATTGATTTGATAGATAAGTCCCCTAATATCAAATGTGATATCCCAACATGCTAGAATAGTTCATTTTGGCAAGAGGGTGCCCTCGGATTATAGTATTATATGACGTGATGGTATGAGCTTCAAATATACACATTATTGCTCTATATATTTATTGTTATTATGTATAAAATCTATAACTTGTCAAAAACAATGGGATTAGTTGCACTACTAGTTGTGCTTAGATTTTCCCAAGTCTTATAAACAAAGACTACCTATGGGAGCAATGGTAAGCTCCACAAAAACCAAGATGGCGTCGAGTCTTGCGGACGAAATTGCAAAACTCACCAATCCTGCACCCAAAAGTATCGACCCAGAAGACGATATTTACACCGGTAAGTACGGCAAATATCATTTCTGACATGTTGTTAAGCTTGGCTTTCATTTACAGACTTTGTAAGTTATCGTAGAGAGCGTATTTGGCCAAGTTTGTGAAGTGAATTTTGTGTACATGCACACACGTGTTTCTGGCTCAGGACTCCCGGTATATTATAGCCTATGAAGAATTATGAACGAAATATTATGTTTATCTCAGAGAAGAAGTATACATGTATTCTCACTTACAAGTAGTTTTCAACCAGGATTCTCTTGCTGCCACAATAAACGTGGAATTATTGTGGAAATATATAGATTTTTATAAATTCTTTTGATGTTAAGATCTTGGAATGAAAATGTTGACGGATGTACGCATGCATACACTTTAGAAACGAAACAATGTGCTATTATTGTACCCAGTGGTTGTAAGATAGCATCAGTAGCTAAATTTAACCTCAAATGAAAACTACTACCTTCGTAACTGACGTAAGGAGGAACTAATTTTGCATTGATGTTTTGCTATGATCTTATATTTTTTTGCATTGATCACCATATCTATATTTATGGATAATCATACATATGATGTAGCCTGGGTGCCATCCAATTTGTAATGGCAACCCCGAAAAAATCACATGGCACCCAGGCTACATATTTTGCTGTGTATCATTGAAAACTAAGTAAAAATGTTGAAAAACTCAATGTTATTTTTCTTGATGTTTATGAAACAGAAACATCAGCGAAGGTTGCAGACAGGTTTGAAGAGTACGGTGATGATGATGATGATGCTGAGTCCAGCCGCCCCCGACACCAACAGCCGGTGTTCCTCAGTAGTCTGGACTCCAGGTACGCAGGGAAGGCCACGTCTAGGAGTGCTCTACAGGACGACTGGGGACCGGACTACTCAGGTTTGTAAAACTTTCCATTAGACGCTGTGACACCTGAGTGACTATAGAATTGCTCTAGTCTTTACCATGCTTTGGAAAGAGTAGAAATTAACCAAATAAACAGATAACATGCCAAGGGGGTTAAGCCTACTAAGGATTACATCCCCAGGCATGTTGATAGATTCTGTCTATTTCTACTCTTTCCAACCTCTTTTAAAGCCTTGTAGAGGCTATTTTGTAGATAAAGCCAACCTTTTAAGTATGGTAACCTGGCTAAGCATTGACGTCCATTCTTGTTTTTTAGATGATGAAGGTGTGGATCCAGGTCTTCTACAGGCTGCTATTCAACCGGAGGGAACAGATGATGATGATGACGATGATGATGACTGTGATGATAAAGATGATGATGATGATGATGATGATGATGATGATGATGATGATGATGATGACGTCAGCAGCCCACAAAAGGTCACAAAACAGAGTGACATAACCTTTGACCCAGCTGGTGTGGACCCTTTCTCTTTCCAAGATGAAGACATGTATGAAAGTGGTGACAACGATGAAGACTCAGACGAAAATGAAAGTGACGAAGAAGAAGAAGACGAGGAAGTAGAAAGTGAGAGTGAACAACAAGACAGTCAGGAACAACAAGAGTCAGAAGCTTGGTCGTTTTCAACACCACAAGACAAGACACAGGATCTCGCAAAGGCTGCTGCCACCAAATGTCAACTTGGTAGGTGTCACAAACTGTTTGCATGATGATTCCCTAACTTAGACTGTCATCATGTCAAATATACGAAAGTTTATGTGTCCTTTCTGTTGGCACAGAGTATACTATAATAATAAGTCTTTACATAATGTTTGTAATGTTTCTACATCATGACATGTGTACATGTACTAGTAATGACTGTGGAGCACAGCATTAATGAATTGCTGCCTAGTGCTCCAACTGTATTGCCATTGCAATTTGAATAAAGAAAGAAGAAATAAAGTCAAAGAAATAAAGAAAGTCTTTACACCTATGCTGACTTACATAATATGCCTACATTTCCATATTTGGAAGTAACTGACCCCTGTGTTTGCTATGATTGACAGGTCTGTGGGACAGCCTGCTGGAGGGGAGGATCAAGTTACAGAAGGCCCTTCCTCTGACCAATCAGCTGCCACAACCAGACACCAAGTCAGATTTCATCAAAACTGGAGGTCAACCCTTCACTACTGCAGCAGAAGCAGGTAACTATACATCTATTTGTTTTTATGTTACTCTCTCATTAAGTACTATTACTGCCACTTGTATGTTATACAATTTGAAATGATTACTTTTGGTTACATCAAAATGATTCTGAAAGTCCTTTTTGGCTGAAAAGATGATCAATTAACATATAGTTTTAGTTTTGTATGTATATAGTTTTAAGACACATTTGCACTATGATACAAGTGTTGTTTACTCAGTTTGAAAAGCGTTATACATTCAAGAATTCTTTAAACTGTAACTCTTTTACAGGTGCAGCTTCCTTGAGAGGCCTACTAGACACCCTACTGGAACTACAACGAGAACTTCTGCACCAGAACCCAGAAACTTCTGCACTAGTAGGAAGCCTGAATGGAAAAGCAGCAGAGTAAGTTTATTACTGTTTGTTTAGACACAGGGTTCATTTGTTGTCAAATGATTCCAAGGTTTCCCCTTTGTATTTAAATGGAGGCTTTTGGGTAGGGTCAGAATCTTGAGGTTCTTAGGCGTAACACACCAGCTTCTCAGGCACGCAGCGCGGCGGCTACTGGCTATATTACACCGATTGACTTGTTACACCTAACCCATGAACATCTAACTCTAAACATAGTTTAAAGCTATCTAATGATGATGCCCCTGCTGTACTTGGTGACAGCGAGTTCCATTCTGTGATAGTTCTAGGGCAGAGTAAATTCTTGAACACCTCAATCCTTGGTTGATAACTCTGGTACTTAATTATGCATGACTATTTCTTTTTCTTTTATGTCTTAGTGATTCAGATGAAGAAATTACCAGTGAAGAAAGTGACACTGAAGAGAAAGAGAGAACACAGTCCAGGAAAAGACCACATGAAGACAGCGGAGACTATCCAGATCGTCTGCAGAAGAGACACAAACTTACACAGGAGTTCAACCTCTCCACTATTGAGAAGTGGAGCGAGAAGACAAAACTGTCCAGTGGCAAGTACAACAGCAAGGTAGGAAAGAAGTGAAATGGTAACTGTTTTCTTCTTCTTTGTTTGTTCATTTATTGGATCTCCAGTAGCAAATAGGTCTACTACTTCTCTTTGATATGTCCTACTGCAATACATGTACATGTACATGTACTACAATACTGGAAAACAGACAAAACAGTCTTGACTCTAAAACCTAAAATATTGTGTCCTATATTGGTCAATATACATGTAAAGGATCAAATCCTAATTTGCATTACAGCATGATCTATTGGCTAAAAAAACTTATCACATATGTACTGTGAATCACACAAACTTGTAAATTTTGGCAATGCCTCAAGAGCGGAACTAACATGGTCCAATTGGTCCCTTTGAATTCTGTTATACAATCAGCTGCCATGTTTCTTCTCTAGGCCTTCAGCTCCTTTAACAAGTCCGTGCGCGAGCAGATAGACCAGATTCTGGGAGACCAGGACAGACTGGTGAAGAGGACACAGCTGAAGAGGTCGTCCTACAAGGTGCTGGGGAGGGGGGCGGACAAGGCTGGGGAACAGGTGAGTTTGCTGCATTTTGTTTCCAAATATGGGATGGAGTGTACCATTGTTGGGGAGGAGGGCTGACAGATTGATATTCGGATTCCTTATGCATGCACAATATGTTACTTCATTCGTGTGTGTTGGAAAAGAAAATTGGACCTTTTATTTTTATCATTCACAGAAGTTAATTTTTTCCAGGAGGTTCCTGCCAAACTTAATCCACACCTGAAGGAGTACAATGAAAAAATATTTGATGATGATGATTTCTACCATCAGGTAAGTTTCACAGTCCATAAAGATTGATTATTGCAAAAAATGTTTGCAAATGTTAGCATATCTGTGCAGTAGATTATTTTCCTACATCATCATCTGTCTCTTAGTCTGGTTGACATTTTAGCAGGCACCTTTCATTCATTTTAACCTGTGCAATATCCAAGTGGGTAAAGTGTTCACCTTGCATTCGGAAGGTCATGAGTTCGATCCCCATACAGCCCCAATGTATGGGAGTTAAACACACACCACTTCCAGTGGACTAGCCTCCTGCTGTAGTGAATCTTCTTTTGTCCAAGGGCTGCAGAGATGGGCACTGCCCTATGCACTCTATATACACATGAAGGTGCAGGAGGGAACTTTGACTTGACTTTCCTTCATTTTCCCCCAGTTACTGCGAGAGTTGATAGAGAGGAAGACGACGAGCGAGGACCCGACAGAGCTGACCAAACAGTGGCTGGAGGTGCAGAAACTACGCAAGAGGGTCAGGAAGAAGGTCGACACACGGGCGTCCAAGGGGAGGAAAATCAGGTGCCTGTATATTAATGATATTAAGATGAAGGCTAATGTTGTAAGAAGTGTGATAGAGACTAACAATGAAGAACAATGTACAATGTAGTAGCAAGAGGGTCAGGAAGAAGGTCGACACACGGGCGTCCAAGGGGAGGAAAATCAGGTACTTTTATTGGTGCTATTATGATGATACATTGTAATAACGTTAAGACTAATTGTAAGTAGCGTGATAAAGACTAACAATGAAGAACAATGTAGCAGCAAAAGGATCGGGAAGAAGGTGGACACAAGGGTGTTCAAAGGAAAGAAAATCAGGTGCCTGTCTATGGAGTATCATGATAAGGCCACAGCAATTTGATTTGTTGGTTCTCAGATTTTTTTTAGATAAAATATGAAGCGACAGGGCGAAAGAAATGACCTACATGTGTAGTACTTTCAAATTGCTGTTTTCTCCCAGATAAAAAGCAAAGTACAATGCATTCGTGTATTTTTGTACATTTAAATGCTGACTATTTTGATGTGCCCCCCTCCCCCTTCCCTACAGGTATGATGTCCACAGGAAGTTGGTTAACTTCATGGCTCCTGTACACAACATGTCCATGTCTGAGGAGGGATGGTAAGTAACCATTATATTTAAATTATTTTAATATGTACATCTTATTCATTAAGTAACATGGAGAAAATAAAGGTACATTTCAGGCAGTCATTTGCATTGGCCAATTCTGTAATACGCACACAAAATGTATATTGAAGTACATGTATTAGGAAGGCACTTAAAAGTGTAAGGTTTTGTGTTAAAACTTTTGTTCCAAAACAAATGTTCTCACCTAGAGCTTTTGACCAGTCACTCTGGTCTTCCTCATTAGACTGACCCAGTGAAGCTTGTCACGTGGCTTCTCTGAAGTATGACGTCAACACTGGGTCAAAGGTACCTGGTTAGCATTTTTAACATCTGACTACCAACACAGAACTCTAGTCATTATAAGGTTTTGTGTTTTTTTTTCTTTCAGCAATGAACTATTCAGCTCTTTGTTTGGGAAGAAAGAGAAGACCAGCAAAGCTGAGAGATGATACATCACAACGACTCACTCTGGAGTAAAAACAACGTATTGTATTCAGCCAAAAATCTGATCATACAAGTTACAGCTTCTGTTAATATTAGCTTTGCACTTCTTTACATCAATAATATCATACCTGTAAACTTGTATCACAACAGTTTTGTATATTACATAGTAATCATAATACTTGACCATGATATGTACATTCAGACAAAAATAAAATGTACAGCATTTTAAGGTAGAATTTGGTCAAGTCTGATTTTTTACAACCCGTCCTGAGTTCTTTGGAATGTAAAAAGTCTTGGTTTATACTATGTCACTAGTGACCACAACTGTCTATTTAAATGTCTATTTAGCTAAATGTCTATTTAGCTAAATGTCTACAGAGCTGAATGTCTATTTAGCTAAATGGCAAAACGTCTATTTAGCTAAATGGCAAAACGTCTATTTAGCTAAATGGCTAAACGTCTATTTAGCTAAATGGCTAAACGTCTATTTTGCTAAATGGCTAAACGTCTATTTAGCTAAATGGCTAAATGTCTATTTAGCTAAACGTCTATTTAGCTAAATGGCTAAATGTCTATTTAGCTAAATGTCTGTTTAGCTAAATGGTTAAATGTCTACAGTATCCAAAATGCTTGTAGTCAAGCTTTGGGAACCCATTTTGTTTAGTGCCTCTTAGTTTCCTATGTAACATAAATTGTATTTAGACTTAGCATTCAAATGATATGTACTGGGACTGGCTAACTCTTACTGCTGTAACTGTCACTATCATACAAATCTACACACAAGTCTTGCCATGAAAAGATATGTTATCAAAAATTTTTGCACTCAATGATCATGAATCATAATTACTGTTCCAACAAATTTATATAATGCACACTTTGGGTTTGGAAGTCAATTTTCATTGATTGATTTATTTGATTTCAGTTTTTAGAAAATGCCAACATTTAAAGTGACATGGCCCTTAACCTGTGTCAGGTCCTATTGCTTAATCTTAAGGCCACACCAAGTAAATTTTATGGATGACGTCTGCGCGCGCATTGATTTTGGCCTGTTTCTAGAAAAAAAAAACAAGAAATTCCGCTTCCTGTAACTATGACCAAATAGTCACGACAGTGCCGCAAATAGGTTTGTACGGACCAAAGCTTATGAAGCATCAAGCAAGACTTCCATTAGGAATTCAGTTTGGTACATGCTGACACATTTGAAGAAACTTGCTGACTGCTCCATCTATCTCCCCAAAGCACAAGACGACAACTGCTGATCCACCTGATTTACTGCTGTTTTGATGATGAATAAAAGACTTCTTGCTTGTTACACTGTGTCACCTCATTCAATTTGTGTCCTAACATTTGTCGTCTCTTAGTATATTTCTAATCTAGGCATCTTGTTTTTTAGGGCCCTTCTTGTTTTTTTTTCGCCCTATCGCATTATATTTAGGGTCTCCAAAGGACGTCATCCATAAAATTTACTTGGTGTGGCCTAAGTCTAAAACACTTATATCAGGTCCAAGCTTTCTTAACCCTAGAAGATGCTCTGGGCTGCTTTCTCGAGTTGCGTCCGCTACTTTCTTCCTCCTTGTTTGTAAGAGTTGCCATGCTCTTGGACACGGAAATCATGGCAGACTTCTCGCGACGCCTCCTATCTCTTGTGTTGATCATTGCAGGCGCAGACACAGTCCTTGGGACGGGCTTGTCTCGGGTTTTGGTGGTGGAAGTGAGGCCAATGGCTGTGTAGGGTCTCGCATATCCTGTAGAATAAAATAGAATGCTGAGTTTTGAAAATTGATTGAGATAGTAGAAAATGGGTTTTGCAACCGATACGAAAATTGTGATTGTAGTGGATATTAGCTGAAACATCTGACCGTTTTCAAAATCATATCCAGTTGCTTGAGTAACTACTTTTTGGCGTATATTATTACCTGGATGTCTAACCTTTACCAACCAATATGAAAATTCTAGAAAGTGAACCATGAATTAAACACTTAGTTACCTCTTGATCCTGGGTACTGTATGGGAGGGCCTCCATTGATCTCAAGGCTGTAGAAAAACAGTGAAACATGCATTGTTAGTGTTAGTGCTAACTACTATTGCAACTTCATGTATTATAAAAATAGTGACTATACAATAGGTATCAGTGTACATTGTACTAGTGACCACCATGTATAGTAGCTATAGAATGATATAGCAGTGACACCTGTGCTGCAATGCAATGTGAACCAGTCAGAATTGCCCCGAGGAACGTGACAGACGGTCACCGAAACATAGAGTACTCAGATGAGTGACTGATGAAACTATTCATGGAATATACCCACCTCTGTGAGGGCAGGCCGACCATTCTGGCCATCCTGAACACATCGTTTAATGATTGTACACTGTCTGTATGTTCAACCAATTGTACAATATTTTTCCCAGGTTAGCCCCTAAATTACAGCTTGGCTAGTAACTGTAGTTGGGCAACCAAGGCTATCATTCCTGAACAAACAAATGAGTAAAGTTTAGATTAAAAATGTAGTCTCTCCCCACCTCTGAGAGGGCAGGCCGACCATTTTGGCCATCCTGAACGTGTCAGTGAACTCTGCACTGATGCGTGCGTCCTGTCCCATGTTCTCCACCAGAACGTCGTACAGACCCGGCGTGTTCCGGCACAGAACCAGCAGCTCCCGGCCCGCGGTACGGTTAAACGTCAGGTAACCAAGGGCAACCGCCGCGTAGAAACGCACCTGACAAATGGCATTAGACGAGAGAAATTTGAGATTCTTGTACGAAAAAAGATTCCATTTTTCTTGCTGATATGGACTTTAGGAACACAATGGTAGCATAGATTGAACCTAGCAAATATACACAGTCATTGTATAAACTTCACAATAATTATACAACTAAAGCCTTTAGTAATGGTACAAAGTATATCATAACATACTATGAGACCAATCTGCCTTACAAAAGATTGTAGTCTGGTAGCAAGAAATGGCATTTCAGAGAGTCAAGATTTTAAAATTTCACGTGGGACTACGCCCCCCAAACCTTCTAGGAGTGGGCATTACATCAAACAAAATAAATTGACATGACTTAAATTCAGGCTGGCTAGAACAAGTTGCTTTAATGAATCTGTGTGTTTACCTGGTCGTTTATTGAGGACAGGTGTTCTGTTAACAGTTCCACGGCTCCACATGTGACCATGGCATCCGGTATCCCTGCTCGGGTGTGGGCCAGGCTACCCATCAAACTCGCTGGGAACACAGGGACATAAACTTCAATACAACTACAATACTTCATCATATACACAGTAGTATGTATTATGCAATGCAAGAAAGACATAGTTACTGTACAGTCATGTAGCTATAGCTAGAGTATGTTTACTGTGGTGTCATTCTTTTAGCCTAGCTCCAGCAGGCTTCAGAAGCCACTGAAAAAGGAGACATTGGCCAAATAGACAGATAACATGCCAGGGGAGTTGGTCTGCCAAGGGAGTTACAGTTTGCTGCTCCTTGGCATGTACATGTATGTTACATGTATCTTGTCTATTTGGCCAGTTTCAAACAACAAACAGCCCAATAATTATACAACAAACAAATGTTCATTAATTTCTATGATATACTTCTGTTTGTTTGTTTGTTTCTGTTACACCTAGAAAGGTGACAATTTTTGGCAAAGGCTTGCTTTCTTGTGTCTTCTAAAAGTTTATTTTAAAAAATCAGTTAGTTACCTGCCAAGACGATGGTGTTGTCGTCCGCTGACTGCAGGAGCTCGACCAGCTGTGTGACCCCGCGGGCCGTTAACATGACCTGGTCCTGATCCACGATCACACGGGCTAGCACTACAATCTACAGGGAAACACAACAACAAACACATTATAATAACCCTGCACAGTCACACGGGCTAGCACAACAATCTACAGGGAAACACAACAACAAACACATTATAATAACCCTGCACACTCACACGGGCTAGTACTACAATCTACAGGGAAACACAACAAACACATGTTACAAAAATACTGCACACTCACACGGGCTAGTACTACAATCTACAGGGAAACACAACAAACACATGTTACAAAAATACTGCACACTCACACGGGCTAGTACTACAATCTACAGGGAAACACAACAAACACATGTTACAATCACACGCGCTAGCACTACAATCTACAGGGAAACACAACACAAAATAAGAAACTAGAAACTTTAAATGTAAAATTTGCAAAGAAAATGCATAATTTGCTTTCTGCAGTGCAACCCAACTACTTCAGTATTCTAAAAGTTAAGTAAAGAATGGTTGAAGGCAAGGAAAGATCAACAGTGTTAGTAGCATGTTGTTCAGCACCAAGGACAGATACCTGATATGTTCATTACCTCTTAAGTTCTAAAGTATTGTTTTTGGCTTGTCTATTTTTCTGGTCACCATATATAAAAATAAAATGTGTTTGAGTAAGAATCAGAGTAGTACTTTGTTAGATTATTTTTGAAGCCAACAAAATAATCAACCATAACTCACGTGGAAGGAAGCGTGGGCCTGGTAGGCCTCGTTCTCTGACAGTAGAAAGGGTTCGAATATGGTGAGTGGAATCCCGCCGAGCTGCCTGATCTTGTACTGGTTAGACGTGTTGTTGAACACAAACGTGGACAGGGCAGTGCCTGCTCTCAACTGGACATCCTGGGAGAGATAAGAGATTTTGCCTTTTGAATTTGCTTAAAGTTTATTGATATCTTATAAGGAGGTTGTGTCAACTTATTTTAAAGTAAAAATACCACTGTGACAGGTATCAAACATACTCAATCCTATTTTGAAAACTCATCAATCATTTTAAATTAGAAGAAATAACCAAGCCCAAAACAGCTTGTCTTATCACCAAAGATGATATACACACAGTCAGTCATAATTTACAATGATCCTTTTTTCCCTGTGATTGTTTGTGAAAAAAAACTTTACTTTTCCATCCTAAATGGAGCCAAATTTAGTACCTTATTGCTGGAGTGGAAGAGCTGTAACAGGATACTTGGTGAGAAAGTTTCCTCCTCTTTCAGGACCTCCTGTATGTCCTTGTTGTTCAGGGAGATACAGGCCAGAGCCAGGACTATCTCAACCTGCAAAACAGCCAAGAAATAGCCTGGTTGGTGGGAGCGTACATAAACTAACAAGGATGGTACCCAGGCTAGCCAAGAAATGTAGAGCATAAATGTATCACTGAGACACCCTGGCAGCTTTTAATAGAACTGCAGAGCTTATGTTTAATACCATGGCAAGAATGGCCTGCCATTACGTTACTTTTTACTAGAGGGAGCTAGTCCATGGTCTAGGCAGAACAATGGGAAAATCAAATAATTTTTCAAGCTATAATATTACGTAATTTTAAAGACTGAGGTGACTAAAGTATACATGTAGTATTACATGTATGATGGTTTTTCACCAGGCTGATACTTTTAAGTCCTGATTGCAAAAGCATACTACAATATGTCATGTAAGAAGAATGAATTCTTACCTGTAGTATCTCATTGGATGTACTTCCCAGGATTTTGCACAGTGTTGAGATGGCTTGTTCCTCTGCTATCTTCCCTTGAGTCACTTTATTGCTGCTGTGGGCAACACCTGTGAGTACAGGGGACATTTTTATGTCATCAAAAGAAACATTCCTATGTTATGTAATACATTGTATGACACAAAGGGCACAATGCCACTGTTACTTTTAAGGGTAATTTCTCTAACAGTTATAATGATCACGTGCATAGTTGTAGCGTGCGTAGTCCGGTGGTTAGCGATCCTGCCTCTGGACTAAGAGGTTGGGAGTTCGAATCCCGGCTGATGTCGCTCACCCGTCATGCACGCTACTGTTTAGGGTCACAGTCCTTCGGGCGGGACATTAAGCCGTGGTTCATTGTGCTTGTCGAAAAGAGCTAGGGGAATTTCCCTGGTACAATGAACCTGTAAATACTGTTCTCTGTCACGACCAGTGGAAGATTAGCTCTTCAATGAGCTAAACTGGATCGAGATCACTTTCTTTCTTTTCTTATCACAAGATTATTCAGGTACAGGTCCTTACCTATACACATAGTCCCCAGTGCCTTGATGACAGTGAGCAGGACAGTTTCAGAAGTTTTGGGCGAGCGCAGAAGTCGGACCAGCGGCTGGATCCCGTTCTCACGACAGATCTTGTTCTGGTACTCGATACTTGAGCGGCTCAACGCAATGATGGCCAAACAACCTGTAACAGGGATGTCATAAATTAGACTAGACTAAAATTACTGTTGACAAGGCTGAGAGGGGTGAAAGAGGCTATTTACATCATCAGGGTATTTCACCCATCACTCTACCACGGTGGGGGCCGACATTGTTTACCAGTATACCGAATACCTTTGACCAAGTGTCAACGTCACACTTCAGAGAAGTCACGTGACAAGTCTCACTGGGTTAGTCTATTGAAGAAGACCAGAGTGACTGGTCAAAAACTCTTGGTGAGAACCATTCTTTGTGTTGGATTTAAAGTTTTAATCTTAAACATGTGGCATTCCAAATGCACACCTGTAATCTACATTTTGCAGAGACATATCCAAAATTTTAAGAAGACTTGTAATTTTGCATTCCTTTATATTTCAAATTCGAAAAATGTTTGCCAACATGCAATTTTTTACAATAAATTTTTTTTTTTTGACATGGGTTTAGCTCCAGGTTTATAAGTTAGTGTGTATTTGCAGAGAGTATTTCCGAATCAAAGAGCAAATTTGAAATTTGGAAAAATTATGGAATATTGTACACTATCACTGACATGTAACTACCAACACAGATAAACTTTCATGACAGAGTAAATTAGAAATTTTGAGGTACTAACCCACATACTGGAGCTTCTCAGACTTGAGCAGCAGCATGTCGATCAGCTGTGGGATCCCGATCCTTTCCGCAATCATCCTCTGCTGCCGCGGGGTGCTGCCAGCTAACGCCCACAGGGTACAGGCTCCCTGTTCTTTTACCTCTACTGACCAAACCTGGAAGACAATGATGTTAATACTGATTTATTGATGGCAGACTAAATGCTACATGATTGCAGTACTGTCTTGTAAGATACTTTTGAATACGGAGTTGTTACTGTTTTCTGGATGGCTTGCTGATTGTAGCTCTGTTTTGGTATTAACCTTTTCGAATTGATACTACATTGTATTTCATACAATTATACTTTTAATTAATACTGTTGCATGTTAAATTACTAGTATATTGCCATTGAAATATTTGGTTTCCAAGCCCTAAAAACTCCATTGGATTCCTTTAATATCGCAAAATAATACACCATAGAGTAGCCCTACCTTCAGCAGTTTGTTCAAATACTTCGGTGCATCCAGGTCCAAGATGGCTGCCTGACTGGTGCTGTTGTTCTCAGCAATGGCCTCCAGCGCGCTGGCGGCTTTGACCTGCACCGTGACGTTCCGACCCCACACCAACTCCACCAGCGGACGGACCGCGCCCTGCGCTACAACCTTGTCCTGGTTATCCTTGTGCCCAGCACAGATGGACGCTAGGGCCGCTGCTGCTGCCGCTTTTAGAATGTCTGAAACAGAACAAAGAGGTCACAAACAGGTCACAGAACATGAAAAACAAGAAGTAGTAAGTTAAACTTTATGTTTTTTAGTCTTTTGATACTGATACAATTTACTCTACCAATAGGTCACCCTACTGTAAATTCAGTCAAGTTTGTAACACTTTGATTTTGTAGCACAGTGAAAATTGGGATCTAGTTATTAGACTTACTTTGTGGTGGAAACAAGTTTAAGTTGCTTGCAACAGAAGACAGATTGTGAAACCCAAAAGACAAAATGATTGCATGCACTCATACCTAAAAGTGTTACCAGACAAGTAATCTGGCATCTCTAGACATACCGGTACTAGAGTGCTATATGTTAGATAAGAAATGGACTTCTAACCTGAGTCCACCCCTAGAAACTCCACCAGTGGCTCCAGGCCGCAGTTTTCTGCCACTGTGCTCTGGTTGCCATGGTTACCAGTGCACAGGACCCGCAGCGCGTTGACGGCGTTCACCAGGACGTCCTCCAGCTCTGACTCCAGCAGGTGGACCAGCGGCGGGATTCCACCCTGGGGGCAAAAAAATACAGCAGATTTGGAAAAATATTTCCAGAAAAATTTTTTTTACAAATTTCCTTTTTTTTTCAAATTTTTTTTTCAAATTTTTTTTTCAAATTTTTTTTTCAAAAATCTTTTTTGAAAATTTTTTCCAACATATATTTTTCAACATTTTTTCATTTTTTTCCCAAAACTTTTTAAAAAATTTTTTCCAAAAGATTTTTTTGAATAATTTTGAATACTAGAAAGCTGCACATCCTGACAGAAAATAAATAAAAGCCCAACCTGTGCAGATATGGATTCCTGGTTGTCGTCCACACACGCGAGGTCCGACAGAATGACCGCCGAGCGTGACTGGATATCGTCCACGGCCGACCCCAGCAGGTGGATGAGGACGGGGGTCGCGTTGGCGCTGGCGATCTCCCGCCGGACGGGCTCGTGTTCGGAGATGTTACACAGCACGGACGCAGCCAGGGCCTGGAGGGTCTCACTGTCATGCTTCAGCAGCTCAACCAGCGCTGGGATCGAACCTGGGGAAATATGAAGTAAGGACATCCTTACAAACAGTTCTACAGGCACAATTTATAGTACATAATTGACAATGTAGTACATAATTCATAGTACATATTAATCAACAATGTAAGAGCCATTCAATAAATCAGATTGTAATGTCTGATGTGTATCAAATGTTACATATCATCATATAGCCGGGTGACATTGACCAATCAGAAGGCTCTATTCCACATGGCTTATGACGCCATAATGTCACAAATAGAGTCAAAACGAGTCATTATTCATCCCAATCCATCCATTAATATGACATTATATATGACCTACCAGCTGCCAGCATGGTTTTCCAATGATCCTCCCCAGACACAGACAGGATGTCTAACGATCGCACAGCGTTCAACTTCCTGTCTTCTTCCTCACTCTGCAACATCCCTGATAAACATAAAAACATTTTCTAAGATGGCGAAATGATCTAATTGCAAGATACAACCACAGTCAAAGTTGAGGCACATGACTGCACAAAAGGTGTTATCATCAGGATAATTTATATGCACCCACTATTTCCAGGTCTAATGGTATAGACCTGTCCTAGACATGACCTGTACTGACTGCCATCCACTGTAACCGTGCACAAATATCTACAATGTACACCAACAGTCAACAACTAGGACTTTAATTACAGATTCTAAAGCAACCTTTAGTCAGAAAGTATTATGTTGAATTTCTTGATTTTTGGTTTTTGATTAATTGACAAATTCATTCTACAACAATGCCTTCACAAAAGATACAATGTACTAGGAAATGTAGAAATATATAATAGCAGTTGAACGTAAAGATATTGTGTGTTTATCTTAGCTTTAAGAACTTACCGACTAGCAGTTTCCACACAGGCACTTCTAAGTTGTTCATGAGGATGAGGTACTCCAGTACGTTGGTGTGGGAGCGCAGGGCTGCCAGGTGAACCACGTTGTCACCCTTGGTGTCGTGTTTGGTGATGTCTGCTCCGCAGGCCAGCAGGTACTGTACGGCCGCCAGGGCTCCGCTACTCGCAGCCAGCAGCAGGGGCGACGACTTGAACCTATGGATGTTTGCAATTTGCACAGCTCAGAGGAGTAGCAATAACACAATCTACAGTAAGTTTGAATAAAGGTAACTGAGCATAAGAATAAAAGGATAAAAGGATTACATCACAACAAATTCTTATTATTTCCTAAGGAATCACAATGATCTGACACCAGGAAATAACCACAGTCAAAAATGAGGCATTCATATGGTGCCAGTATTCCCAGGTCTAATGGCATAGACCTGTCCTTGGTGCTGACTGCCATCCACTGGAACCATGCACAAATATCTACATGTAGGTGCACCAACAACTAGGACTCATCAACACTTCACCGAGTATACTGTAGTTGGTAAACAAAACTTTGCTTTGCTTGGTAGTCCTTTGTTGACGAAGATTACTGGCCAGATCTGAACAAAACTGTATAAGTACTAAATGTATAGCATCACAATCACATTGAGTGATTGATTGATTCTAATTAGTATCAGCTAACGAGCTGGCATGCTTACTGGTTGGTAGTGTTGAGTTCCAGCTGGCTGCTGTCCTTGTTGATGAGGTGTTTCAGACACTGCACGTTGTTGTAGTACGCGGCGTGGTGAACCGGCGCCCAGCCATCCTGGTCAGACATGGTGATGTTCGCCTTACAGGACACCAGACAGGACAGGGCGTCCAGGGAACCACACTGGGCTGCCAGGTGCAGGGCCGTAGGACCTGTGTGTCAATCATTGTGTCAATCATCAGCTATCAAAATAATGTGTGGATAGAGCAGCAAAATACAATATTTTCAAACTAAATTGTGTGTGTGTGATTGCGTGAGTGCATGCGTGTGTGTGTGTGCTTGTGTGTGTGCGTACATGGCGTATGTGTGTGTGTGTGTGTGCTTGCGTGAGTGCTTGCGTGCATGAATGAGTGAGTGACTGAGTGACTGACTGTCTGTCAGTGAGTGTTTTCAGTTCTTTCGGAACAAAAGTTAACGTAGCTACTGCTTACCACTGCTCTGCTGGGAGGCGGTGTACTGCGACACCAGTCTGCGTACGTTAACGTCCAGCCCCTGCAGCAGTAGCAGTGCGATGACCTGCGGCCGGTTGTGGATCGCCGCGTGGTGCAGCAGGGAGAGGCCGTGTTCGTCGTGCTTCGCCAGTCGCGTCGCCGGGCACTTTCGACACAACGTCTGGAAAATGGCGACCAAACCGCGCTGCGCCGACGCTTTCAGGCCGTACTGGAGATTCTAAAGAAAAACAAAAGGTTGAATTCTTAATTTAAAATTAGAGCTCTTTACAGGAATAACTGACAACAAAGACATTTCAAGTAAGTAACTGAGTGTTAACATGTAGATGATTCCAATGTTCTGTAACCCAAGGTTTACTATAAAATAAATTATGCTATTATGTGATATCCAACTCAAACTAAAGCTACATGTCATTTTTTACCTATATATTATGCTAGGATGATCAAATGCTTCCATTTGCAGTGTGCTATGGTAGACAAATGGTTCAGAATTCTTTGTACTTTTTGATGAGAACTGAAAACTTCCCACATACCTTGTATCTGATGGCTTTCTTGTAGCCGAACCTCTTCTTGAAGTGCTCGTGGACCTGTATGTCTGTCAGCGGGAGTCGTTTGGGTTTGAGGCTGGAGGTGACGTCGTAGAAAGCGTGGATCCAGCGCGGCTTGTGAGGGGACTGGGGATAGTACGTCTCAAAATCCAGCGAGAAGATGTGGTACCTGAACATGGAGGAGGAAAAAATACTGAATCAGATACAAATGTACTATTAGATAGAAGAAAAAATTGGCCAGCTAACTAAATTAAACAAAATGAAAAGGTGTTTAACTCATGATCTTATCCTTGGTGCTGATAACCAAAACTACTGCAAAACAAAAAGGGCTTTAACTCATGTCCCTGTCCTTGGTGCTGATATATGGACAAATACACTGAATGTGAAAGGCCAAAACCTAAAATGTGTAAGGAAGAGATGGATGGATAACATAAGGGAGGATAGAGGCAAATGGCGGCTGCCATCAAGCCTCAGCATCAATGTGCAAGCAACGTCTAATCCTCAGAAGGCAGGGAACAACAGATGCTAAACTGGATAGTGAGGAGTGAGTGACTGTCTGAGGAGTTTTTGGACAAGTACTTCTTTAACTTATGTTAGTCACTGACAGAAAGTAGTCAATGCTGCTTGAAACATCTCATTGTCACCTTAATTGACGTAACTTAGATACATGTTATGTCGATGAGGGTTAGACATCCAGGTAATGAAATACAAGAACAACAGTTACTGAATAGATAATGAAACCAGATTTTTTTAGATACAAAAGATTTCGAAGAATCAACTGTACTTTTTCCCATTGAGTTCGACCACGGGTAGCGGGTAGTGTTCCATGTACGGTGCATCAGGGTCCAGCAGCTTGGCACAGTGAGTCGCTGCCTCCAACTGGAGCTCATCAAATGCATCAATGACTTCTCCTGGAGGGTCCACTGTGAAAATGGTAAGAAACATTCATTTAAAGACTGCATAAAAACTGGCTTATACATACATAATTATGTAATGTATCTCAGGTTTTTTAATGCTTTTTTCAGTCATAGTTGCACACTAGGCAACCTAAGTACATGAAGATCTATGTTACCCAAAGGTTTCTGATGTTTTGATAGACACTAGATCATGAAACACCTAGATGGGCTAGACTGTATAATGAGTTTTTCAAGTACCCATTTTTTAAGCCATGTAAAATGAACACAACAGTCCTTCTGTAAGGCCTAGGAAAAAAAATGTTGTGTTTCCTGTTTCAACTGGGGTCGGCCGTTTTTTCTAGGGTTGGTTGGGAAACAGGAAACACAACTGTTACATTTTTTTCCTTAGGCCTACAAACCAAGACTACAAACCTAGGTGTCCAGTCTCCAGGTCTATGGTGATGCCTCCGTGCAGATGGTGGTACCGATTCTCGAAGAAGAAATTCTTGCACTTGAAATCACTTCCCAGCATCAGAGGAGGAAGTTCCCTCTCTGTTCTCAACTTGTCATCTGTAACATGAAGAGATTTGTGTCAGATCAAGGCTAGAAACAATTTTTCCTGCATACTCAGGCCTGAATATGGACCTAAATGATTTTACAGTCAAACCTGTGCTAGTGATCACCTCTACATAAGGACCACCTGGCCAAAGTGGCCACTATTATCAATTGGTGGCTGGGCATTTCTTTTTCCAAAGAACTATCAAGAATCCAATGTTTACAGTGTTAGGTACACCACCTCACATTCATTTAGACTGTTAAAAAAAATTAGCATGGTCGCATGTATGGCGGTGGCAGTCTCCATTTCTGTAGCCCTTGGGCCACACAGTTGTGCAATCACTACAGCTGGGGGCTAGCCTGTTGGTAATGGTGTGTGTTTAACTCCCATATATACTCTTTCCCAAATGCTGAGTGCAAAGCAAAGAAAGCAGTTACTAGTAATAATGTACCATTTTTTAAAGTCTTTGGTATGACACAGCCAGGGAACAAACTCACGACCTACAAAATGCAAGGCGAGCACTCTACCCACTTTGCCACTGCACCAGTCATATACTACCGGTACTTACCTATAAATGGTGCGAGTAGTCTGGACATGTCAGGAACCTTCATCCTCCTCCTCATGGCGACCAGGAACGGCACCATGAAGCTGATGAACTTCACCAGACCCAGGAGCCGGCGCACCTCGGCCTTATCCTCCAGGTGTTTCTTAATCAGCTCCTGGTGCATCTGCAGACGTCTTTGGATCAACAGGTAGCTCTGCTGGTCCAACCTGGGGGTATCAGGAAATAAAAAAGAAAAATAAAGTTAGAAGATAATACTAAAGCAGTTACTCAAGCAACTGGATATGATTTTGGAAACGTCAGACGTTTCAGGTAGCATCCACTACATGTACCTTTTGTCATTGACACTAAGAGACCAGAGGAGATAAAGATACTAGTAATATTATTAAAATCATAATAATATTGTAAAATGGCAACAAAAAGAACTGTTACTGTAACAGTAAATCAGTCATTCTTGCTCCTGAGATGAAGCATGATGCTTAATTTTTCAAGTACCTACTGGCATAATGTGGCATTGCTACAACTTTTCAGCCAAGCACATGCACAGGGTTACACCTACTCTTTTTCACAAGTGTTGTGATCTTTGTTTTATCTTTATTTCTCTTTTATTTCTTTTTTTTCTTACATGCAGAGGTTTCATGTTTGAGGTTTCCCCATACAAGGGACAACTGTTGGATTTATGTCCCTATCCAAAATGACAAATGCCTAGTTAGTGTTACCAATCTGTGCCTATTCGGGTTTGGAACCCGTGTCCCCTGGATCCATTGACTTTGATCCCTAAGAGCAAAGCAGTGGGATCACTTACTGCTCACAACACGGAGACACTGAGGAAAAATGATTAATTATTTAACGTTTGCTTTTGTTTGCTCTGACAACTTTTGTTCACGTGTTACATCTAACACTGATGGTTAAGTCTTTCACTTTTTTGAAGAGCTGGATCCAAAATCTTCTTTGTGAGGCCGTGTTATGGCAACAGTTCGTAACAACCCCCCACTGGGGTATGTATAGTAATGTGACACCGCCAAGTCTGAAAATAGAGGTAAGACAACAAAACAGCAGAGTGTTTAACGCTAACGTTACATGTTGTGGAAATAGATTCTTTTTACAGAAACAAAGTGTTACGTCCAGTCTGCACTGGGTTGAAGTTCAAATTGGTAACTGTTTTTTTTTAAGTGATTTCTGTTACAGTTAAACATATCCATGAGGATGTTGAAGTTCTCTTGTATACATTCCCAATGAGACATTATTTAGTGCTTTACATTGTGTTTTTGATGCATTTCATATGTCTATTTAGTACTACAGGGTAGGTAAAAAAGAGACAGAAACATGGACCACTGTGTGACATTACATGATTGAGATTAAGAAAATGCCTAAAAAAACATTAGCCTCTGGTGTCCAGTCTATCACGGTTGGGGCAGGTTCTCTTAGGGGCTGCATGAGCTCTTCTATACAAAACTCAGTGAGAAAAATAAGTATTTGAAACCCAATTAAACAATATTAATTCAGCTGATAACTTAGAGATGAGAAGTTTTACCTGTCCTCGGCCAGTTGTACCTGCTGGGCGATGTTCCAGTCTGACTCCATCAGAAACAGGTTCTTGTGCTGCTGGACACTCGTCTGGTATACCGTCATCTGCAGGGAAAAAAATGTTCATTTTCAGACTGTTTGATATTGTCAATCCTCAGGGCCACAATAACGTTCGGTACAGGTCTTCTGACCCACGTGATAACTTGTAGTATCACGCTGGGTTCTAATGGTTATCACATGGGCTTTCAAATGTTCAAAGCACCTTTTACCTGAGCTGAGTGCACTGCTTTAGAAAATTTGAATACCAAATTCGGATGTTGCAACATTGAACTTTTATTCCACATTTTTGATTAGGGACAGTAAATTTTGGTACATTTTGCATTAAAATGTGTGTTTTCTTGGGTGGGTATTACATAAATAAAATACAACACGGGGTATTCCGTATCGCCCTCGGTCCCGGCCATCTGCAGGTCGGCTTGCCCACAGCCATGCTAGCTCTCTAAGGGGCTAAATAAATTTTCAAAATATTTAAGAAAAATAAAAAAGCTGACCTGCAGTGAGAAGTTGTCGACATATCTCATGAATAGTTTCCTCTCCTCCAGTGTGGTGTGTTCATCCTTCATCTTCTCTGTCTCAGGCTGATCATCGTACACTTTTTCATACTCAGGGTCCTTAGTTATATCCATCATACCTGTATATACAGAGAAAAATGGCTCAGTACATTGTGATTCTACATACATTATTGCTGATTATTGCTAATTGCTAATCAAGGACTGGACCAGAATGACAATCCCAGAGCTACTAAAATTACAGCAAAAAGGAAAAGTCTACCTTGTCCCCCAGTAAAAATTTTTGATCTCTCTCTCTATACTCCAAACAAACAAAACATTCAGTACAACAAAGTTGTACATGTAGTAGGTTGCAATTGTTTATATAAATAGGCCCCTTTTCTAGCAGTTTATCGCACACTGAAGTAGCTGATTCTCTATTCTCTGTTGGTTACAGAATTATAGGCTGTAAGGCGAAAGAAACATATACTAGTAACTTACCTGCTGTTGTGAATTCTAGTAACACGTTCTTCTTCGTCTCAGGTTTGCCGCTGGCGTTGACGTCCAGGTTGGATCGCCAGCGTTCGGAGAACTTGGCCCTCTTGTCCGGCGGGAAGAACGCCCCGTGCCAGAGTGCCTTCATCATGTAGTCCAGATTAATCAGGATCTGCCCGACTCTCGTGTCGTGGTACGCCGGCGGGAGCTTGCACGACGTACTCTGGTCGAAATTCGCCTCCAGCGATATACACGGCACCTGTTTTCCAACAATGAAATTATCTATGGTCACAATTCCAAAACAATAAAACATTTGACTACCCTACCATGGCTTCATACACGACATACTCTGGTTGAAATTTGCCTCCAGCGATAAACACGGCACCTGTTTTCCAACAATGAATGTGAACCAGTCAGAATTGCCCTGAGGAAGGTAACCGAAACGTCGGCTGTGTAAAAAGTCTCTTTATTCAATGAAATTATCTATGGTCACTTGTCCTCTCTCCAAAACAATAAAACATTGAATTGCTCTATCCTGCAGGCAAAATATTACCTTTTCTGCACCGCCATTAGCATTTGCCAAACCCACGTTCCATAAGCTGTAAAACACTGTGACTAGCTTAAGCTAGCAAGCTTGCATTTTTGTTTTGCCCACTTATTTTTGCTGTAATTCAGGATTCCGTAGTTTAAGTTTTGTATAACGTATCAATAGTGCTATGACGTAAAATTGTTTCTGCATGTGGTTGACTGTGAATAAATAGCCTGGTTGCCAAACCTATTATAGCTCCTCAGTCCTGCATCATATATTTGAGAGGATGTGGGACTCGTGAGCTCATAATAGGTTTGGTAACCAGGCTAGTGAATAAAGTTACTTTTTACAAAAAAAAGAGATATACGCGGCACCTGGTTCAAGGCGAATATCCCCGTGACCAGGTCCCGTATGATCTGGTGCAGCTCGCGACAGTCGTATGGCTGACAGTCTGGCACCTCGGGGAGCAGGAAGATACAATTCGAGTACGAAATCCCCCGCATCTTCGAAATCAGTCCGTCCGGGGGCTCGACTGAGAACCTGAGATCGTCCGAGGACAGGAGCCAGTGGGAGGAGGTGTAGGCAAGCATCTCCTGGACCTCGGCACGGTCAAATTTCTCGAAGAACTGGTTGGCGTTGCGCGTGGCCTGGAGTTGAGCGAGGTACGCCTCATCCTTGTCTTTGTCGTCCCCGCCGCCTGGCAGCAAACTGGGCCTCCTCGAGGGAGAGGCAGATGATGTGGTAGACATGGCGGGGCCTCAAAACCTGCAGAAATGAAAAAAATTGTGTGGTGTCCATTTGTAAACAACTGGCATTATTATTATATAATTATAAATCCCGTTTTCATCACACGTTACATTCTCATCCTAATAGCTACCCACTCTTCTGTACTATTAGGTACTAGATTTAGCCTAATGTACTAGTATGTACGAGAAGTTGCCAAGATTCCTTTGTACCTTAATATACAATTTATATACATACAATAAGATTTATTTCTATAATTGCTTGCAGCTATAAAGGAGGTTAAAAAGGGCCCATTTTGCAAACTGTACTGACAATTGATAACATTTACATGGCAGGATGGCAAAGACTGAATGTCAAAAATCACTCCGACTCGGAGCACGGTAAAATTTAATGTGAAAGAATAATAACACAGAAAGCAATGTTACTGGTATATATTTCCAAAATACATCCTGGAGCTTTGGTTGACTGGCCAGTATTCTCGGGAGTCTCTTACAAATCTGCCTGCCACTTGATATATTGATTTATTGATTTATGACTTGCTTCAGGCACTTAGCCAAATCAAAACACAATTCAGATCCAGTCAAAACTGCCCCAGAAGATCACTCAGGGGAGCACTAAACTTCAGTATGTGGACAGGCGGTCATTATGGACAATGGGGAAATTATCTTTGGGACCACAAAAAAGTACTAAAAACTATGTATGAATCTATGATACTACTATTGATAGTGCATGTTGGCATCAAAGTTTAAGGATACCATTGTTACGGATTCTATTACTGAATTTAACCCCAGAAAATACCAATAAAAAATTAAAATACTAGTTTTGCATCTGGTCAAAACTTGAGGATGTGCCAAATTGGCTTACTAATCATGACTAATTAAATAAAGCAATAAAACAATTTTAAAATCACTTTTATTAAACTTGATCTAAATTAGTTTCACACCTATACATGGAAAGGCTATCAATTTAGATTGAAGTTGACTTCAAAAAACATTGTCTTTGACTATCGATCCTTTATTCAAAGGATTTCTTTTAATTATTTAAGTTCCCCTTTCATGGCTGTTTCTGGACTTCGACTTCTGTTATCATTCTAACGTTGTACCTTTGCTTACTTTGCTGTTGAAGCATAATGAACCTTGCCGAATGTTGACATAACTGATCTGCAAGTTTAACAAATTTTACTGGTAACATTTTGGTTTGATGAATAATTGATCAACCATAAAAACTGTGACCAATAGTCGAATAATGGAAGTTTTGTATTAGAAAAAAAATAATCTTTTCAAGATTTAATAAATCTGCACTAAGATTCCAATTTGAGATTAAGATATTCAATAATTGGCATTAATATTAAGCCCAAACAAGCAACAATTAATATACTGGCCCGCCCCCTATGAAATTTTATGTAAAAGTTGTCATACGATATGGGGAGGGGGGTACAAGTTTCAGCGACCTAAAATACAGCTAGACTTCTATAGTAGAAAGGGCATAGGACAGACACCATACCTGTAGCCACCGCGAAAACAAAATCATTTCATTTTTCCGGTTTGCTACGCATAAACAACATAAACTTGGCGTGTTTGTCTCTGTAGTTTGTAAATTTGGGCGCCACAGAGTCTAGTTTACCTACCTTACCGTTTCTCTTCCGTATATGATTACTGCACAGTGCATAGAAACTATCCCTACCGTAACAGCAACAATAGTCTTATCTAAAAATCCGGGTGCTCCCTTACTTACGCACCTTTGCGAGTTTTAGCCTCCAAAGTCAGTTTTTCCTCTCTCTGTAGGTAAAAAATCTGTCCCTCTCTCGTTCAGACGAAGCCATGGTAGGGTTTCGTGATACATAAACATGAAGCATGGCTTCTGCGCTGAGTTACTAGGAGCTGCAGGTATACACACAGGTGAGTTACGTACCTGGGGTCACCTATGAGACCAAAGCGGCGCCCGACGGCCCACCCGCGGATCTGCGCGCTGATTGGTTGCTAGGCGGAGCCCCACCTTTGTTGTCAGGCATGGTCACGAGATCACATCTCGGTCTCAGGGCAGTCTGTGCAGTGATTGTCCCGGGACATTGGGACGGACCACTTTTATCATAGCAGGGGTGATACTTATTTTGCAATTTTACAGTAATTAAAAGTAAGCCATAATAACAAATATATAAATTATAGATATACAATAGTTTCTATATTCAATAATTTAGTAAGTTTTAGTAATAAAAAGATTATAAGTGCACAAATGCCATGGAAAATTTAAAATATTGTACTCAAACAACACCCTACTTTTTTCTGGTATGTGCCATTATTGACGTCATTCCAGGGTGCGTATCAAGTTTCGCGTGACCAATATTGTCAAATAATATGAAACATTTGGCATGAAATAACAAAAGTCTTGGCAAATCCTTCGGGCAGAGCCTTTCAAAAAGACCCAAAATGATCCCAAATCACTTCGCAAACTGTTCTAGACAAGACGAAAATAGCAGCACTGGAATTTCTTGTTTCTTTTTCAGAGGAGTCGAAGGCGATTTGATTTTAGGAAATGTTTCTAGTACTAGTAGCTCCCTCCTCCTTTGTAGTTTGTGTGTTTTTACTATAAATAGTCATCGCTTTTTTTTCTTGCTTTTATTTTCGACACAATGCAATTTTGGAGTTGGAGCTAATATCCTTATCCCTTCTTATGATCAAGGAGATGAAAGCTCCTTGTTATGATAGCCCGACCGGCTGCTGACCCGTGCATTGGATACAGCTGATCGGATATCCGTATGCTGCTAATCTCCAAGCAGATTATACGATGGCAAGGCAGTAATCCATACAGGCAAATAGATACAGGCTGGCCAATTTGACAATACTATCTTACGTCCACCGAAAGACCTTCTCGGGAGATAGGTAGTATTCACCGAGTCGGGCCCATTGGCCTTTCAACAGGGCTAGGGATAGTCCTGTAATGTGTCATGTGTATGTATGAATGAGTAACTCAGTTTTGTTTTTATTTTTTGAGCAAGTTATATCATGAAGCTCGATTGGGAGTACAGTAGCTGTGCTCTCTAGTGGACGAACTTCCCTGGCATGTTATCTCTTTCCAGCCACCTGCCGAAGCCTGGTAGAGGCTAGTATATCGTAAGAAAGAAGATAAATTAGCTGAAATTTAAGGGTACCGTACTTGTAAATGTTTTATTTGGCTTAGCGGTAGACGGTCTCTCAGATTCTTGGTAGCTTGATAAAAGCAAGGCAAGGACGTCATTGATAAAAGCTGATAAACTTCATAAGTCTCTCTGCGCAAGGACAAGTACTAGTACTTCAGGGCAATCAGATTTGTCAACGTCGGGATCTGTAAGAAGATGATCTTTTGGTGGCTGCAAAGACAGAATCAAATTGGTCCGGCAGTTACCATCTGGTTGGGCTGGCGTAAAAAGAAGAAAAGCACAAGACACTAGAACAACTTGAAAATAAAGCACGATGAAAACGCCTATCATCAAACACGTCAAAACAAGCTGAAGCTTAAACCGGTACCTCTGCTTGGAGACTGGTAGGTCGGGAATTTAAAAAAGACGATACCTGTACTAAAAGTAAACCCGATAAAAACGCATACAAACGCGTAAAAAAGCTGAAGCCGATATTTGTAGCCTCTTTAAAAATATTGTATTCAACCTATTGTATTCAACCACAGCCTCTACCATGCGGCACCGCGGATCGCTGGAAAAATTGTATATTTTGCGACTCCGTGTGTCGGCTAACTTCCCTGGTATTCCCTTTATTTTGGCCAATTTCTACTACTAGTATTTTTCCAGCGATCAGCGGTGCCTGGTACTAGAAACCTCTTCTTGGAGAGACTACTAGTATTTGTCCGGGTTTCCCGACCATGGCATGGCTGTTGGTGTTTCCCGACCATATGGACCCGCGCCCGGTAGGCAAGATTAGTTTATCTCCACCAGACTCCACTGGGTGATGAAAAGTAGTAGAAGTTGGCCAAATACGGGGGATATTTTGCCAGCGGAGTGGGTGTACCCAGAGGAGTATTTTGAAAACTAAAATTAGACACTTTAACTTGTTTTTCCTCTTCTATGTAAAACGGGATCAATGCTAATGCTTCCAGTTGAAAGGCTCTTCGCTGAATTCAACTTTAACAAGTCGTACTAAGTTACTACCGAAGAGGGATTTTCCAACAACTTCGGAGTGTTTTAATACTGTTGATCTCAACTCGAATCCTATCTCCCAATCTTGTTTTTTTCTTCTGTTCAAGTTGTTTTTCCCACTTTGTTCGCTTCTCAGAACTCAGAACGGCCCTTCCTGTTTTGACCGTTCTTACTTACTTGAAGTCGACGTTCGCTTCCTGTTTGGAATAGAATGTACACAAAAAGTCATTCGGACAAACACCTTAACGTTAGTTGCATCAGAATGTATAGGCATTTAGGAATCAGCGTTTGACAACTGTACGCTTATTACGCCCAAATGAGTCATAAATACGATAAGTAACTTGATAAACACTACATATGACGTAGGATATTGTTGTAATTCATTATCATGATCTTGACCTAGCTTCGTACTTTGGGGCTGAGGTTTATGAAAACCCCGGGTCTTTTCTAATTCTGAGAATCTCCCATGTTAATACTTTTGCAGGCCAGGAATACTAGCTAGATCATAGAGTGTTCAACTGTGAACAATCAAACTGTTTTCAAAGTCTTTTTGGCTTTATAGTGACAAGTTTAGTGACCAAAAGCAAACTTTGTGCTCTAAAAACGTAGGGTGGGGTAGCAGTGCCGGCGCAGTGCATGCTGGGCCGGAAAGCTCTGACCACCTCACAGCCAAGATGGCGGTCGACTACTCCCGTCTGGCTTCCGCAAAGGAAAAGCGGCAAGAGCAGCTCAAAAGATGGCTGGAGTCCGACACGGAGCGCGAGCCGACCGTGCCGAAGCGGAAGCGATCCAGGGTGAAGTTTCAGGAGGGCTGCGTGTTCCTAGCGGCTTGCGCGGCGGGCGATACCGAGGAAGTCGGACAACTGCTGACGAACGGTGCCGATATTAATACCGCCAATGTAGATGGATTGACGGCGCTTCATCAGGTGAGTCGTACTCAATGAAAACAGAAAATATCCCAACATCCAACATATCTAACGTGTAGAGGTGTTTTTCAGGTGTGTGTCGGGCGTGCTAGTTGTGTAGGGTAGGGGTCTTGTCGGGTAAAATTTGTCAACAAACCGAACGGGTCGTCTTGGCTCGTAGCCCCCCGTGCGGTTTTGAGAATCGAGCCCGGGCCTTCTGAGATCAAACTCTCGCTTGACCCCGGCCAACATAACTGCATGTAACACAACACTGGCTGTCTCCCAGCCATCTAAAAACTCCGGGTAACCCCGGCCCTCCCTGGGTAGTACACCGGACACCTTTTTATACGTGTCAGTTTTGACCTTTTCACACTTCGCGACTTCAAAACGACGGTTCAAAGCAAGATGTCGGACGGGGGGTGGCGAAAGTTTGCCCGGGGAAAAAACTTGGAGCCGCCTGGCAAATAAAAGCCATGTTGCCGGGCTAGCGGTCCATTTCCAGCCTTATTCCTACACCCATGACGTCTGTAGTGGTAATAACGTTCCAACAACCAAGCCCTAGTGACCACTATGCTCTATTTTTAAGTATTTGTTATTGTTGGTTAGAAGGGGGGGCAGAGTAGGCGTGCATGTCCCCATACATATTTGCTCACATTCCACTCTAGCGTCCCGGGCCCCCCAAAACCGGGCGATGTTTACCCTCCCTTACTTCCATAAAACTCCCCTAAACTAACCAGTAACCCCTGGTGTTTAGCCTAGGAGGGCAGCACTGCTAAACTTTGGTATGAATCGGGTGAGATTTTCCACACATAACTATCTGGTCGTCCAGCGCAGCCCCAAGCACATTCCTAGCTCTGTAAACACCAGTTCTGGCCAGTGTTTGATGGAGGCTGGATAGTTGGGATGGTTTGGGAGCCCTCTGTCCATATTTGAAACTTGAGATCAAACCAGAGCAGACTGGGCCAGAGCTGTTTCGTCCTGTTAGACCTGATTGGAGGACGCAACTGGCGTTCATCCGTGCTCCCGTAATCGTTACAACATTTAATTAAAAACAACATCAAGAATCCGTAAACATGACACAAAATCAACACAACAAAAACATTTTATGATTTCCAGTCAATTCCAATATTTACGTCTCAATCCGCAGGACCGAAACTTGATATTGTGCTAACAACGTATATCATATTCACAATATATTAAGAACAATAACACAAACAAGTAGTTTCGAAGGCTATCAGTCTATTACGCCCCCCTCCCCCTTACTAGCGCTCATCCTATAGTAGTTCCATCAGGTATGGTGGCTGACAAATTTGGTCACACGGCCCTTGTAGGCCGTAGGGTGACATATAAGTGCAAAAGTTGGCCAGCGAGATTAGCTGCAGCGGGGCTGTCCTTATCCTCCATTATCTAGCGAACACTTCTTGGCTGTTGGTTCGGGCGAGAGTCTTTTATCTGGTGCTGTGAACCCAGTGCAGATGTGGCCATGTAATTGTGTGCTGCTGACAGGCCTGCTAAGGCCTAGGAAAAAATGTTGTGTTTCCTGTTTCCCAACCGAACCTAAAAAAAACTGCCAGCTCTAGTGGTGGACTGTGCAAGGGACATAAATTTTTCAAGCTTATCGACCATTTCTTGCTCCACAATCTGACGCCTGAGTGATGAAACGTTGTACGATCGTTTTCCAACATTGACATTGAAATATTTTAAGTGTCCTCATGCAAGTTTTCTTTTGTTAAACTGTATTGTATAAGTTAGATCACTTAGAGATTACCAAAGTCTGTTAAAAGAAAAGAAAAAAATAGATAATCCCTACCTCCCGACCCTAATTTTCGTCAGTACTGAGACAGGAAACACAACATTTATTTTCCTGGGCCTAGTTGGGAACCTGGCAAGCCAGGCTGCGTTCTGTGGTCATTACAACCAACTAAAACCGACATCTTCCAGTCTCTGTGTTCGGAAGCTTTGAATAAGGGTCGCACAAAACACAAATCAAAACTGACGTCCTCGTCTACAAATGATCTAGCTTACGTGTAATGCAGAGAAGTTGGCTGTCTCGTGTATTGGTATAATTGTTGTGATTAGGTTTAACATGGTTTGGTTCTGTTTTGAAACAAGATACCTACCGTACACAGGGCTCGAAATACTCACACCTTTGCAGAAAATACATTGAGATTGCGGAAAAGAAATATAACTTGCAATTTGGCAAAGTAAAGGAGTACAGGCTTGCTTGGTAACGTTAGTCACACATCGCAGGAAATATTATAGAAATAAAGTGCTTCAATCCCTATCTAAAATTCTCAGTTCTTGAATCAAAATCAACCTCAAATGCGTAACAATTATTGAGAGACAAGACACTTTTACAAACTTGCTTCATCTTTTTACACATAATTTTGATACTTCCCAAAAATGAAGGGTCTCAGATTATTCGTTGCTCGTAAACGATTTAGCAAGAAGGTGATATTTTCTTCAACGTTGGTTGGTTTGTGAGTGTGTTTGTGGATTTGTGACTAGGATGATTTAAGCAGTTTTATATTGATTTTTTCCAATATTAGGTGATAATTGAATTTTGAGATACTAGTAGTTGCCTTGTTGCACTTAGTGACTAGTAATATTGTACACGGTATACATACATGGTATTGAGAATTGAATAAGAAGGGAGTGAAGAAAGATTCATGTTTTTCGCTTAGAGTGCTCTGTTCTCAATTTTTCACCTTGTTCTGTTGCTTGATTTTTACTTTGAAATGTATGAAAACCAAGATAGAAAGATTCATCCCAAAGTTTGTGGAATTCAAATGCTTTTTTTGGTTTACTTTCTGGTTATAAAGAAATAACATTCATTCTGACATTCACAATCCTACCTTGGTACATGGAAAACCAGCCCAGCAGAAAGACGATCACGGTATCGTTTCACTTTCAGGTATTTAGAAAGTATTCATCCCCGTTTGGGTCCAGTTAGGGTCACCATCCACTAAAGTAAACAAACAGGAGGCAGTGTCCTGTCCTGGACCTATTTATATCCTATTTAGACGGGATTTATGGCAAAACAAGTGGTTGGCGTGAACTAATGTAATTAGGTCAATTTTGTAGGAATGGAAAATCCTAATTTCATACAGCACACTCAGAACAATGTTCTTTTATCTCAGAATTTTTGCTGTGTTAGAATTTGATTTTCTTAAGTTTTATCGACTCTGTTGAAAATAAGCATGTTTGTTCATTTTTCTATGTTTCTGAAAAAATGTAATATTATAATTTTATACACCACAATACACAGCAATGTTTTGCTGTCTTAGAAGTTTTGCTACCTCAAGTCAAAGACAGTTGATTTTATTTCATTGTTTCTCTTTAAAACAAGTACTTTCTCGTTCCATAACAAAATTAGGTCAATTTTGTATGTCCCAAAAATTGCAATTTCATGCAGAACAACCTATAACAGTAGTTTGATAGCAAACTGCTTCCAGAGTGAAAACATATGGTTCTTTTTTCAGTGTTTAGTTCACAGTTGTTATGTATACAAAACATCAGGAAGAGGATTTTCCAATAGACCTTGAGCATACTTGAAATTGCACAAATTGGCCTGGTGCTTGTGAATTATTAATGGTAAGATCATGGACTAACATGGTTTCCAGTGTTAAGATGTCAACATAGCACCAATACATGTACCATAACTACATAACATACTGATTCAGTTAAATGATATTTTATTGTGAAACGCACGCAACCTGACTTAAAAGGGATTACAGAATGATTTGCTAAAGAAATAGGCAGGCCTAAAATACGTTGGTTACTTCATTAGTAGAAAGACAGAATTTAGACTCTTCTTCACCAGTTATATACGTAACGTACATGTATGTTACCTGGTATACAAGAAATGTGGCTGAAACTATGCTCTTTTAACAAGAACAAAATAACATAAGAAGCTTAATTTTGAGTAACAAATTTAAATGCGACCTTCTAACATCACCATAAAAATGTCATTATTTAGTCAACACAGAAACAATGAAAATATTTTTGCTTCCTCACTCTCAAATCAATATAACACATCTGTGAAAATGAAATCGTCACCCGCTATGTCAGTAAGGACATTGTTCCTTATATGAATATTTTCTGACCGCATTTTCCGCTAGCCCTTATGTAGAGACATATAGAATTACATCTATTCCCACAATATTACAGTTTGGTATGTCACAGTGTCATATGCCAGAAATATGAAATTAGCCTTCGGTAGCGTTTTCTTTCCAATCGTGACAGTGGAATTGAGAGAGATCATCACATTATGTTTCTCTTGCTAGCCAAGCGTCTAGGGTCAACAAGGGTCAGTGTCTAGAACATACGATAAGGTCCGAAACATGGACGCCTGGTGTCCGGTTACACGGAGGTCAGATAATTCTGGCTAGCTGTCGGGTTACGCTGACGTCACACGGTCGGCGAATGTTGCGATCGCGGGTTTCTTGTAAGATTGATGCGTCTGATAGTAATGTAACACCGAGGAAACGAATGACACAGTTTGATGAAAAAATACTTCTTGCTTAACTCAACAAATATTACACAGGAGGTTTAGATCAATACAAATTGTTAGGAAGTATTCTGGTGTGTCCTCTTTATATAATCGTGGATACACAAGTCATGTAACTCAAATCAACCTATAGACCACTTTTGGTTACCTTCGTTAACTCAAAATGTATGTACAAAGATTAAGAATTTGCATACATGGATTTTTAGTTATCTTGTATCCAACATATGCATCCCAACCGAAAGCATTTGATTTTACTAGTACATTAAACTTCTTAAGAATCATAACAAACACGTTCATTTGTACTGGGTTGAAGTAACATATTGGAAATCCATTGAATCAGTGTGCTAAGTCGAGGCTAAGTGTTGTTTTCACAATTGTTGTTTTGTTTAGATGTTGGCACGTGTTGGGTGTATTTCTCACTTCACCTTTGTTACGCTAAATTAGCAGTGAATAGGTGTGAGTTTAGAGGGATAATGGACTTACTACTGGCACGGGAACTCTATTAGCTATAGTCTAGTATAGAACAGCCTCTCGTCTGTGTGCGTGTGTGTATGTGTGTGACTGTGTGTGCCTGCCTGTGTGTGGTGTGTGTGTGTGTGTGCCTGCCTGTGTGTGGTGTGTGTGTGTGTGCCTGCCTGTGTGTGTGTGTGTGTGTGTGTGCCTGTCTGTGTGTGCGTGTGTGTGTGTGCCTGTCTGTGTGTGCGTGTGTATGTCCAGGGATCGAAATAATGGGTGCATGTGCACCTTAGTGCACCCAAATTTGGATCGGTGCACCCAATTTTTGACTGTGGGTGCACCGGTGCACCTAAATATTTTTTTAGTACGGTAAAGGTACAAAACACTGTAATTCCAACATTGCTGTGATGGAATAAAATAATAAAAAACCTTTGATGCACTGCTTGTTTGAAATTCTTGAGATAGAATTAGATTTACTTCAGTTTTTAAAGCCCGAAAATGTGTCGGCGCAGTGCCGACATCGCGTTACCCACCAACTTCCGGATCCCGACTACAACACTGGACACCCTGGGACAAGAGATCTCTTCTTTCTCGTTCCCCGGTTTCTTGATAGTCATGTGACCAAAACATCGCGAACTCGCTTCCGGAACTTTCCGACGCTTTTGGGAGTCATGTGTGACAAAATGTTGTTTTCGTGCATTTTTCGCTTGACTTCGATAATCTTCGAGGTCACATCGTCAAAACCCGGGTGTCGACAAAATTCGGCCATGAAATTCGTGGATGACAAAGCAAAACAAATTTGTCGAGACTGACTTCGCTTCTACGGTTCCTTCAGCCGAGGTCCGATCGTGATGACGACGAAAGAGATGTGGCAACAACATCAGCCCAAGCTCTTCAAAACCCCGAAGGAAGCGATGAAGCTGGAAACCAACGGGAAACACGCCCGGACGACAGACCGTGCCGTGGGAGCGCCGAGACAGAGGGGGAGGGGGGCGGCCATGTGCTCTCGACAACACTCCCGGGCCCTCCTCCACGGCCTCCCGAGCTTCTTCCGTGTCCAGTTCCGGGTCATCAGAGTCGGATTCCGAAACCGAATCAACCGAGGAGTCTAGTGCAAAAAGACTGAGGCTTTGTGTGATTTTTTTTTCATTTCTAGATTTTTTAAAATATTTTTTTTTCGATCTCGGAATCCTAATTTGCCTTTTTTTCGGTAAGATCATTACTGTGTTATTTCCATAGCGATGCAATTTCCACTCTTGCTACGATCATTTTTAGCATTCTTTACGTTTGCAATATTAATTTGATATTAGTAATATTTAACTTATTAATGTACTACTGGAAATATGTGGTGCACCCAAAATTTTTTTGGTGCACCTAATATTTTTGGTTAGGTGCACCAGTGCACCTAATCAAAAAAATGAATTTCGATCCCTGAATTGTCTGTGTGTACACGTCTGTCAGTGTGTCTGTGCATGTGTGAACAAGTTGTACTACAACTGTGTTCTTTGACCTATCCAAAAACTGGAGTTGTACAGTCAAAAATTTGGGCAAGTCCAATTTCTTGTGTTGGAAAGTTAAATTGCTTCCTAATTAGCTCATTGTGTTCAAATTGTATGTGTCTGCAATACAATAAACTGTAATTTGTTCACTGATTATAGATAATAAAATCTTCCCAAACTACTAGGACTGATATGTTTAAACTGTTGAGAGATCATTTTACAGGCTCCGTCCTAAAAACTATGACACCGGCTACTGGTAACCCTCAGTGTTCCGCTATGGTAAAATACAGGGTGTCCCTTATAGTAGTTATACTGCAGGACTTTGCTATGTGCTTCTGAGCCTCGTGTAAATAAGTAGAGTAGTACCAGTAGAGCTAGGGTAACAAGAGACCAGGTTGTCCTTACATGCACTTTCGTACAGAGATATATGTGCTACTTTTAACTGACATTCATGTTGGATTTTGTTATGGAAACTGTGGCATTATCTTAGCACATAAACAAGAGGCTTGGAAAGGAAGAAAGGCATAATATTTCATGGCTTGAGTTACTGCATTTCCACTTCTGAAAGTATGTGATTCGTAGTATGGAGTGTAGCCTGCCAAATTGTGACTGTTTTCTGTATTTTCCCACAATCATATATATACTTATTTTTCCTGAAAATTGCAGGTTTCCCACAAGCATTTTGAGCCCCTAGTTTTGGTCCCCTAGCAGCCTTTTCTGGAACTGCAGGGGCTTGTATTTTTTAATGAGCTTCTAGTAATTAGAAAGTGGCTATCCTCACATGCACTTTCATGGATACAAACTTGAAATGACAGAAACCAACCTGAAGACTTTGGCATCTTTCCTGTGTAGATTCTGAAGTTAAAACACCCTGCTGGCCAAAGTCAATGTCATTTTAATTTAAACTTAAAGCTTTACCTGCCTGGGGGTATGGGTAACAAGTAAAGAAGGTTACATTTGTTGCGTCCTACATTCCTTACCAGGGATGGAAATTCAGTTTTGGGAATACTTTCACTGGTGCACCTAACCTACAAATGTACCTTCACAGAAAAAAATTAGATGTACATAATTAAAAATTAAGACAAAGTAGAATGTTAGAAAAATATTAGTTTATAAATTACCAAGATCCTTAGTGCATCTCTTAAGAGCTTGAATCTGAAATTCTATAGCTACCTTTAACATTCAACAAGACTGTCTAGTAATACAAGAAGTAAAGGTTTTTCTGACACTTGAAACGTCAAGAATATGGTCTATAATAGTTTCTGTATTTGTATATATAGAATTATAATGTTACAGTAACCATTATACAAATATCTCAGTGCATTGTCAAAAATCAATTGCACAGCTCCAATTCTTAGTGTACAAAAGTCCATATGCACTCAGTATTTCAAACCCAGCTGACTTATTATATTGCTGTAGTGAAATTTGAGTTTTCTGAACTTTTAGTTAAACCAGTGATCAGGGTTATAGCATCAGTCGGACAATCACACACGAGACGGCATCCAAACGTACAGGAAACAGCTGTCACCAGGAAAAATATCACGACTCCAGGATCGGTGACGGCTTTGCCCACAGCCAGGTGCTAAAATGGTAGCATCGTACATCCTGAAAATACTTTACAGGGCACGTTCCCTATATAAGCAGCATTGGGTCATTATACATACTATACTTACACACTCATTACAGTAGGGGTTATTTTTAGAGAGGCTTATAAGTTATAGTCAAAATTGTACAGACTTTTTTGTTGGTGACAAATTTGTTGTTTGAAATTTTGAAGCCAGAATAAGGTCTATTCAATGATTCCCCTAGCTTGATTTTTAGCAAATTTGTATACTAAAACATAGTTCCATGTCCAATATTGAAAGCTGTATATACTGCTACATGTATACAAACATATGTTGTCATTAGTTATATTCAGAATGATACTTGAATGCACATACTAGGTCAAGTTTTTTTCTTCAGCATTTTTTTCTTTACTGATTTTCACGTTTGAAGGATTTCGTAAAATTTACAACTCTGTTCATGGTTACAAGTGACCTAATTCTTCGGGGATTGTCAGAAATATTCCTAGCCAAGGGCTAAACCAGTACCACACTGCAGTTACATGGAAGACATAGCCCAGCTGGTACCTTATATATGGCTGCTGAGGTGGTTTTCTTACTTCTTATGTCTTCAAACTTCTAGCCCTAGTTGCACACACCCCCTCATTGTCAAGATTGCCACCCAACCATTTTTCTAAGTAATTGCCAAATAATCTGGGCTTTCAATTAAACATTAAAAAAAAAATTAATGATTAACTTAACATTTTACCCTTTTGCTTGTTGTTCTTTTCAGAGCTGGTACATGAATTAAATGTAACCAAAAAACAAATATTTAGTTAAGTATTCATTGCCTTGAATACATTTCTATTTTTTGAACATCATGCATATTTGATTAATTGCAAATTTAAAGAGAAGTTACAAATTTTTCATTTCATGCTGCCTCGAAGGCTGACTAAGCTATGGGAGAGAATGAGTGTGTGTGAGTGAGTGGGTGGGTGAGTGAGTGAGTGAGTGAGTGAGTGATTGAGTGTGTGAGTGAGTGAGTGAGTGAGTGAGTGAGTGAGTGAGTGAGTGAGTGAGTGAGTGAGTGAGTGAGTGAGTGAGTGAGAGTGAGTGATATTGTGTATGATTATTGTGTATAATTGTATATTGTGTATAATTACTGTATGTCATATTGCATATTGTGTATTATTCTTTCATGACAATGTTTGTGTTTTCAGGCTTGCATTGATGACAACATGGACATGGTAAAGTTCCTGGTAGAGAAAGAAGCAGACATGGAGTACCCTGACAATGAAGGGTGGACGGCTTTACACGCTACTGTCTCCTGTGGACACCTGGAAATCACACAGTATGTAACCTTATCATAAAAGTTTATCTGTGTTGGTAGTTACATGTTTAAAGTTAAAACTTTTGGTCCAACACGAAAAATTCTCTCACCCAGTGTTGACGTCACACTTCAAAGAAGCCACGTGACAAGCCTCACTGGGTCAGTCTACTGAGGAAGATCAGAGTAACTGGTCGAAAGCTCTAGGTGAGAGAACTCTTTGTGTTGGACCAAAAGTTTTAACTTTAAATGTAGTATGTATCCTTCATCTATTTATTTATTTAAGAAGATTTACCACATTTGTGGAAGGATTGACATAACAGGTGACTATCACCAAGATGTCAAACCTGAGACCAGACTGTAAGGTTTGAACCACTCACACCAGCTTTAAGACCTTTCTACGAAGATGTTCCTAACCAAAAGTGGGTACTCATTTTCACCTGAGTCAAGTGAAAAAAATAGATGTAAAGTACCTTTCCCAAGGACACAACAGTGGAGCCTGCCATGGATTCGAACCCAGAACCTTAAGGTTCTGCTTTATCAAAAACTATGACTGAGGCCCCTACTGTAATGGTAATAGTGAAGGGTACAAATATATCGTTGCCACCAAGTACAGTAGGGACATCATAGAAATTTGATATTTGCTTGCAGTTAGCATATGTTATGGATGGCAAAGAAATATTCGTATCTTTCACTGTTACCATCTGTCAGTGTCAAACTATCAGTGACAACATCTCAAATATTTCATGTATCCAAGGTAGAGCTTATCACACTGTTTTGATTTGTAAAATGACCCTTTCTGATTTGCCTTGCATTCCTGATACTGTGAGTGACTCCAAACCCCAGTATTGTACTGGTTCAAAGGTATAGTTCAGTGTGACAAAGGTTAAAAATGTTGAATACACTCCCTAAGGTACATTGTACCTTATACTGTACCTTTAGGTATAAAAAATTCACAGTTTTTAACACTGTGATACTAAAGGTGACAGTATTGTACTTGTCTGTAGTTAGTTCAGCATTACAAAGCAGTGTACAAAATACATTTTTGAACCAGGTTGTCAAATGGGCAACCTACAGCAAAAATTAGGTTGCCCATCAGAATTTTAGGTTGCCCTACCTATATTACTTTCCTCAAATTAAGTAATGTTACTTACATAAGCCTTTGACAACATTTCTAACAGCCTATAGTTAACTGATACTAGCACACTGGGCTACCTAGGTTCAAAAACAGGTTGCCCCAAGTAAGATTTGGTTGCCCGGAGCAACTGGGCAACCAGGTATTTTGCACGCTACAAAGGTTTAAAAAAAGTCTCTACCTCCCCATAGGTACCTTATAGAGCATGGTGCGGACCTGTCTGCAGTTAACAATGAAGGAGAAACACCACTGGACCTGGCTGAGGATGAAGAGATGGAACAACTCATACACAAGTTTGTGGAACAACAAAGTGAGCAAAAAACAAACATGACACTACATGTACATTGTGTAGACTTGAATTGTACCATGATTTTGTGTGTGTGTAACTCACTGAGTTTGATAGTGAAAAATTTGTCTTTGTCCAACATGTCTTGTTGAATTAGTGATTGGCCAAATTGAATCAGAATGGGAATTGTGTCATTATATGACCAATCAGAAAGGACTAGTAGTTGTATGGTAGGCTGAAACCAATCAGAAGATGAGATGTGCAGTGCTTGACCAATCAGGAAACTATGTGTATGATTTAAACTGTTTAACCAATCAGAAGATGACCTGTACAGTGTTTGACCAAACAGAAACCTCAGTAGTGTAGGTTTTAACCAATCAGAACATGGAAGGTGATTTCTTCAGCCAATCAGGAACCTCAATGTATGATAGTGTTTGATCAGCCAAAAGATGCAATGTTTTGCTGATTTTGCAAGAATTACAAACCTTTTTTTGATTTGAATTTGTGACAGGCATTGACCTGGAGGCAGCCCGACGTGAAGAGGAACGACGAATGATCGAGGACGCGAACCAGTGGCTGAACAGCCGAGTCATCAAGGAGAAGAAACACAGCAAGTCTGGGGCCTCGGCTCTGCATGTAGCTGCAGCGAAGGGCTACATCAAAGTCATGCAGTATGTAGCAGAACTTCTACTGTATTCCATGTTTCTGTTGAAGCACAGGGCTACGTCAAAACCATGCAGAACGTCTGGTGTATTCCATATTTCTGTTTCATATAGTTTTAAGCATCCCTTTGCTTGCTTTAAAATCCTTGGTCATACCCTCGTTTATTTTTTGTGTCTTGCACATCCACTTCTTTGTGTCTGACACTTTCAGTCATTCCTTCCCCTTTCACTTGCTCCATACACTTTTACTCATGCCTTACACTTTCACTCGTGCCTTACACTTTCCCTTTCGTGTCTTAAATTTTCCCTTTCGTGTCTTAAACTTTCCCTTTCGTGTCTTAAGCTTTCACTTTTTGTGTCTTAAACTTTTCTTCATGTCTTAAACTTTCCCTTTCATGTCTTAAACTTTCCCTTTCGTGTCTTAAACTTTCCCTTTCATGTCTTTAACTTTTACTTTTCGTGTCTTAAACTTTCATTTTCTTGTCTTAAACTTTCCCTTTCGTTGCCCCCAGATTGCTGATCCAGGCCGGAGTGCCGATCAACGCTGTAGACAACGACGGCTGGACGCCGCTTCACGCCGCGGCACACTGGGGCCAGAAGGAGGCCTGCGAAGTGCTGGCTGAGAGCATGTGTAACATGGGCATCACCAACTATGCTGTGAGTACACATTTACGTTAATGTACATACATATCCGGGCTTTAATAATTCTGCTGCTGGCTTCCCTGTCTCAGGGGTAGGCAGCAGTCGGCTAGACTGGACTCCATGTCTCCATGTGACCCTGTCCAGTGGGTCGATGTTAGACAGTAAACACTTTCTAATGTAAGTCTGAAAAAATTGAGATTGATCTCAAGCTACTTTTAGCTCATTTAAGAGCTAATCTCCCACTGGTCATGACACTACAGGTTCACAGTGCCAAGGAAATTCTCCTAAGGACTGTGACCCTTTACAGTAGTGTATCAGGTAAGCAACAACAGCTGGGATTCGAACTCCCAGCCCCTTGGTCCAGAGGCAGGCTTGCTAACCACTTGACTTGTAGATGTTTTCAAAAAGTCTAACAAATTTTTGTATTTCCTGCAGGGGCAATCACCATTTGACATAGCAGATGTAGACGTTCTACCATATTTAGAAGAACTCAAGAAAAGACAGGCCACTGTGAGTATACTGCTGACATCTTTTTTTATCCTGAAAATCACCTCGTCTTATTTTGTATTTTTTTCCAGGTGAGAACAGATAAAACTGTCTTCTTTGATTTTTTTTTCAGATCAAGAAAGAGCGTCCAGCGGAGAAACTGGTGATAGACATTACCAACGAGCACGAGAAGGCACCGCTCAAGAGAAGGTAACGTACCAAAGTTTCACTCACAAACAAACAAACAAGGTGCTGAAGTACTGAATGTCTAAACTGGCTCACTGAAAGAGACTTTTAACGTAACCTCTTTTAAAGAAGCCGAGAAGACCAAGGTAGTGAACTGAAGGTTTGTCCTGCAAAGAGCAAGAAGGCAAAACAATTTTGTCAGACTGGCAAAACCAAACTGTTTGGAAATTGGTGTCTTCAGTTACTGTATATAGTATTTTTTAGCCTATTTGAAGACTTTTATTTTGTGATGACACTTGTAGGAGGCTGCAAGAGGATACTGGGTAGGTCAAAGGTTGCAGGTAGGAGTGACCTGAGGTCACGGGACTGTACCATTCTCAGAAGGAGGAGGAACGTAGAAATTATGCAAAGTTTAACCAAGTTTGAACTGATCACTAGACATAGGAAATAGGAAAAACTCTTTGAACTACCCTGGGTAAGATATCTGAACAGATAGACATAAGGAACATTTTTGAGTGACACATTGGTACTCTGTACTGTACTGTCATACAAAGTAGGATGGTTACATATCTCTGCTGGTTAGATGTTAAATCATCCCAAAGCTTCTCTCTGCTGTATTTCTGTCCTGCGTGCCCACACACAGAGCACTTCCCGCCTTCCGGCATTGACCATTCCTTGACTGTTTTTTCAGCGTGGGCTCGCAGTCGGCCCCTTTCTCTTCTTACAATGGTCCGGCGGACCCGGAGCTGAGGTAACGTGGCCTGGCCTGTCGTAGGGATAGAAACTGTCCACGTCTCAACAACCATTTTCTGTTTAGAGACTGTAGAATTATTACAAGCACTGCAGCTGCAATGACCACTCAGTTAGTAAGGAAAGTAATAAAATACTAATACGTAGCTGGTGAATGTAGTTACTGTAAGCAAATTTACAGTAACCAGCCTGCATTTTATATTGAATGTTTGGATTAACCTTATGGTGATGATCTGAATCAAGACATTCTGACAGAAGTTATGTTGCTTTGAATGCTTGAAATTTGAAAACTCACATCTACACGTCTTGGAAAAGAAACCAACAGACTACCGATCGCGCTCATTTTGTAAAAATCACAGTTTATAAAGTATTAAAATGAGATGTAAAAGCTAGATCAAAAAAGAGAATGTAGGCATCTCTGTACTTTTTGGTCAGATTTGAGGAAAGTACTGTCCAGTGTGACCCAATCTAACCTCGCTACTCTTAAACACAACCCAACAACTATGATTGTTGCTAAACTAATAAAAGCTCCCAGTAAAAGGACTAATTATATACATAGAGTAAAGCTTGAAGCTCTTAAAATAATTTTTGCTTGAAGTCAAAGAAACAGTACAAAATGCTTTGGCTTGATTCAAAGTGACGCATGTGCATGTTTTGTAAAACTTTTTTCAAACAAAAATGACTTGCTCAATTATGTGGAACAAAGCCTTAGAAAGTACAAACCAGTTATACAGTATTTTTTACTTTTATTTTGAAGAAAGCATACTAACAGAAACCTATAAAGGCCTCATTTTTTGTCACAACTCAGAAGCATAGGCATTTTCTTTTTTTTTATTACTAGTATCTTTTTTTGTTAGTGGCTCTGTTTGCAGCTGCAGTGCATTGTTGTAAACTCGTATAACGTGACGTCTTCAGTGTCCAGAACTTAGTCCTAGAACTGTGACTAAAAAACTCGTCAACAACAACAAAAGTTTACCATAGACGATCCGCTCATCTCCATAACAGTGGGTCTCATGGGCCAGTCATCTCAGCTCATATCTGACTCTCCTGTGCTTAACTCCCACTGCCAGAAAAAATATCATCCTTCTTTCAAACCAGGCTTGTAGCTTAAGTATTTGCGCCGTATGCAAGTAATGGCCGTGGCTAAGTGGCTTACAGTTTGTCCTTGGCCAATCACGTTGCCCCATGAGCAAAAAAGGTAAGGTGATTGGCTGGTTCAAAAATGTAGCTTCCAGGTGAGTTACCAGCCAATCACATTGCTTCTTGAGGAGAAGAGGAGACTTGATTGGCTGGTAGCTCCCAGATACATGTAAGTCACCAGCCAATCATATCGCTTAGTGAGGAAAAGAAGTGACTTGATTGGCTGGTAGCTCCCAGGTAAGCCACCAGCCAATCACATTGCCCCTTGAGCAGAAGAGGCAACCTGATTGGCTGGCATCCAGCTGGGAACAACAGCCTGGCAATCTGATTGGCTGACAATTAGCACTAAAACCCCATAAAGTACAGATTATAGGTCATTTTTCCAGGACCATTTCTTGCATATTACTGTAGGCTAATACAACCTACAGCCCTGGTATGTAAGGATAGAAACAAATCTGCATGCTATCCTGACTGTGTAGAATCTGATGCAATAGAGACTCGTAGAACAGATTTGAAGCAGCTGCAATTTTACAGGTTGGACTGACTGTCGAAGGCACTTACATGTAGTCTAGTTCTCATCCTCGCCTCTATGTAGAGCCATAGTCATCCTCATTTCTCGTGGATTTCCTCTATCTGCAAACTGTAGAATCGTTCTGTACATTTACCCCACTGACCACACAAGATTTGCCTTCACTATGCATTTTTTATATTATGTACAAATAGCCAGGTAAGATTTTAAGGTGTAAGAATGTATAGGACAGTGTGGTTACTGTTTTGATTGTGTACAGGTGTAACTATAATAGCAGATGCTATTAATGTATCTCTTAAATGGCTGTTATAAGAGTAATGGCTTTATGCAATGATTCTAGAAAAACAAAGTCTCCCTACATTTCTAAAGCTACATGTACATCATACAAGTCATGTAGGATGTGTTTAACATTTTTGTCTCCATTATACATTTTATGTATGTTCCAAGGTTTATCATTCTTTACATAATAATAACAATGACTATGAATTTGTCATGACTGTTTTAGGAACAAGATCCAGTGCCATGATTTTAGATGGCAATGTGTACAGTGTTTGGTACATTCTAGAATTAAAATAGGCATCGGCAGAAATTAACTACACAAGCCTTTTTTGGCAACACCACCGGGGCAGAGCCTTTTTTCACCTGTTAAATTTTTCTTAGCAAAGGGTCCGATTGCAACTGGGTCACACAACTGTAGAGGTTTGAAATCTAGATTAAAACTTCGAAAAAAAACCCTTTTTTTCAGGACCTCAGTGTCGAGGATTAGCCTGAAGGACAAGACGTCGTTCATGCAAGACATCTCAGAGGAGCGACGCACGCTGGAGTCCAGCATCTTAAAGAAGAACAAGAAGCAGGCCTCCAGCTCGGAGGAGTCTTCTAGTGAGGAATCCTCAGAAGAAAGCAACAGTGAGGACGAAGGTAGTAGTAGTAGTAGTAGTAGTAGTAGTAGTAGTAGTAGCTACTGTTAGTAGTAGTAGTAGCTACTGTTAGTAGTAGTAGTAGTTACTGTACAGTAGTAGTAGTAGTAGTAGTAGTACATGAAGTAGTAGTAGTAGACTGGTTTATTAGGTCTTAACCCAAGACATAAGGTAAGGCTAGTGTAAAAAAAATAACATGATTGTCAAAATCAACTCATGAAGCTTAGAGTAGAATTAGAGTAAAGAAAATACTGTAATTTCTTATTTTTTCGTCGTACTTTAAATTCATATTCACGGTTTTCACGTCACTACATTACTTTAAACTTATTGTTACCGTTAACGAATAAATAGCAGACTTTATTTCTCATTCTCTATCTAGCAAAAGAGTGTTTTGATGTTTTTGCCAAATCCTAAACTTCAATATCAATGGATTATTTGTTAGAAGAGAGGCAAATTGTCAGACATTTCAAAAAATTTTGCCCCCATCATTGAACCTATTTGTGCAAATTTATTTATTTATTTGTTTGTTTGTTTATAGGAGTGGATAAGGAACGAAGGACAGGAGGAGGAGTAACTCTAACCCGCATCACTCCTGCAGGCACCAACCAGGTATGTCTTTGGACACCTATAGTAAGGGTATAAGTAGGTCTGGTAGATATACACTCAGGTGGTATTAGGTTTTATGGTTATGTAAAGGCAGGTGCCAAAGTTATTCTTGATGTGTTCAATGATGCTTTACTGGACAAAAATAACTGTTAACCATCACTTTTAATTGTCATGATATCAACATACAAATCTTTCAGCATGTAAAGTTTGCATTTCACCATTAAATAATCATCCTTTTTTTTTTAATAATGCTTCAAAAGCATTGGTTTTAAGGTTGAAAGTAAAGCATGTTTTAAGTGGCAGACATACATCTAATGGCGAAAGTTAAAAACACTGAAAATGGTATGAAGGCATGTGAAGAATTTTCACAACTTACCAAGCAAGTTCTTGGCTAGTTTTGCCTTAAGTTTCCAATCTAACAAAATTGAGATGACAGAAAAAAAAATTCAGGCAATGGCTAGAATGCTGATCTAATACAGTATGACATGTACATTGTATGTGACACTGTTTTGACTTAAATCTTTTGATCCAACACGTGTGTGCATGCATGAGTTTGCCACTAACGTTGCTTAACCCAGTTTGCATGGTATCACCCCCTCTACCCAGCATGGACCTTCAACCACCTCAACGTCCCTCACGCGCAAACCGTCTGATTCTGACGAGCCGGGCACCGCAGCCGGCGCATCGCGAAAGGTTCTGGACGACCGGACGCCCACCAGTTGGCGCGCCGGCTTGAGAAAAACCGGGAGCTCGAGCGCCGTTCCCGAAACGAACAACAAGGACGGAGATTTGTCCAAAGACAAATTGCAAAGATCGCCCTCCACTCCCAGTATATTCTATAAACCCTGGGAGGAAAGATTGAAGGAGCGAGAGAAGGATAAAGAGAGGGTAAGACAGTACGCCCTGTGACGTGAGCTCTGTGACTGTCCGTCCTTCCTTCCTCTCTCGTACCCTCCTCGGTTTCGGGTTGTGTAGACTTCTGTTCCAGTTAAAGTGCCCTGTACATGTGATCTGTTTCTCAAGTTCGTTTAACTAGTACTTTTCTGTTTTGTTTCAGCTCTTTTTGTTTTGTCTTGCTATCTAGCTGAAAATTTTATTTCAGACCAGTACTACATGTATGTATAATGTCTCAGTGTTGAATGTGAACTTCGATTTGTTTCAATAGTCATTTTCTAGACAAGTTATAAAGTTATATTCTACCAATTTTGAAACTTTCATGGTGATTTTAATCAAAAGTGGATACCAATGAGCATACAATATATAAACAGGTTGATACTAATGTCGGACATGAACTAACATGATGCTATAGATATAACAATATAAATATTTATGTTGAGTTTAATGTAACTAGTATTTGTCGGTCTAAGTAACTCTGTCAGTTAATTTTTTTTCCCATTTTACAGGAAAGGAAAGAGAGCCGAGAGGACAGGTTGCGCAGACTGGGTATCATGCCCCCAGAACCCCAGAAGGACAACAAGGACAAGTGAGTCCAAACTTACTTACCTTTCACAAACAAAATCAAAGAAAACTTCTGACTTGTATCATCTAAAAATTGACCCTCTACTTCTTATGATGTCAGGATGTAATATAGAACAGCAAGTTGAACCATTCTAAAAGCAAGGCATGATGAGATTGTTTTAGAAAACAAAATGGCTACCCAAAAATGGCTGCCTTGGTGTTTCACAGCACTTTGGTAGAATGTACTGCGCTTGCGTGAAACCCGTAATATATTGTGCATAGCACTTTGGCAGAATGTCTCTTTTAAGGTCGTATTTGCGTATTTAAGGATGACATAACAGCTATAGTTTTCAAATGTTGTGTTGGAAAAGATATTTTGTCTGCAATGGGCAAAATTCTGATGAAAATTCGAAGAAAACCATGAAAAGTCTAGGTTTTGTTTCATATGGATGACTGATTGGTGGAATTTTTACATTTGTAAATGTTGCTTATTTGTCAAGCAAAGCCTTGATAACTACAGTACTTGGATGTTCTATGTACATCCATGACATTATAGTAAGAGTGGAGGGTTATTTTGAATTAGTAAGAGCATGCCAGAACCTAGTGGTTGTATTTCTGCAGTAGAAATGTCGTTAGTTAGTTAGTTAGTTAGTAGTGGACCGTGTGTGGTCATGGCTGTGTCTGTGTGTCTATCTGTGTGTCAGGACTGAGTCTCGGGAGGACAGGTTGCGACGGCTGGGAATATTACCTCCTGCTGACAATAAAGACAAAGACAAGTAGGTGCAACAAAATTAACTTTCAAACAACATTCCAAGTTACTTTTGGTTCAATTTGTTTTCTTGGAAAAGCTAAATGTTAAAATTGAAGTGATTGACATAACATGTAAAGTCTTCATTTCATCCAAATCATGCATTCCATTTCACACAAGAACAATACACTAAATGTTGCCGCATTTGCAACTTCATTTTTTCACATTTTCTTCAAGTTTTTTTCATCAAATGTGAGGACTTAAAGTTGTTCATCCATGTTTATTTTTGGTAAAGTTTTACACTTTAGAATGTGGTAAGTCAAGAATGGTACATGTCATGTCATGTATCATACTTTCATCTAAAAAACTAACATCACCATTCTATAACCTGTTTTTATACATGTAAGTAACAGTAACTGTACTTGTTATAAGGCTAAAACTTCAATATCAGTCATAATATCTTCATTCCCACATAAGGACCCACCTTCCTATATCTGTGGTATAACAGAAGAACCCATCAACAGTTGTTCTTATGTTTGACAATGTAAATAACCAACCAGGCGATTTACCGGTTATGCAATACAAAACAAACAAACAAACCAGGCTTGACTAAGGAGGGTTATAACTTTGTATACATACATCTACAGAGACATGCCCACATGTGTAGTACATTTTGTACTTGTAGAACTGGAACTGCTAGTCTAGATCTGAATTCTGTCTTTAAAGACTGTCCTGTTAGATACCCCGTGGTGTAGACAGAGTGTCATGTTGTGACCAGGTTCCCATGTTTTGACTTTGTGCCCATGTTTTGACATAGTGTCCATGCCTTGCTTATGTGCCCATATTGTGACCATGTGCCCATGTTGCAACAATGGTTTGCTCAAGTGCCCATGTTTGACTATGTGCCCATATTGTGACAAGATGCCCATGATTTGTTTATGTGCCCATGTTGTGACAAAGTGCCCATGCCAATGACTACTACTGTATGTGTCCATGTTATGACCAAGTGCCCATGATTTGCTATGTGCCTATGTTGTAACGTAGTGCCCTGCTAGATTTAAAATGCATTTGTTTGACTAGGAATGAACACCTTTGCCTTGCCTTGGACGTCATCAAAACCTCCAGAATCTTCTTTAAAAAACCTGCTTGTTCTTATAATACTTGATGATGACTTGATATGCACTTCCTTTTCTTTATTTCCTAAGTGTATATTTTCCGTTGTTGCATGCGTTTGTTGAACCCTCTGGCCTTGTATGTTATTTGTGCATGGCAGTGCTGCGAATACAGACACAGCAGCCTCAAGTTTATATATGAGACGAAAGGGCGGGAGTGAGTCAGATGTTGGAACCAGCAAGACCACAGTGGCTAGCTCTTCGTTAACCTCGTTAACACAATCAACAACACCCCCCTCTACTGTCACAACTACCACCTCTACGTCTACTAGAAGGTGAGGCACTCACAGTGAGACCGCTGGTCAGCGAAGGATGCTTAATTCTCTAACAGTTACTACTGTTAGTGTTAGTGTTAGTGGAAAATGTTAGTAGTAAAGGTAGAGCCACGCATATCATCTCCTAAAGGCTGACACCACTTACCAAGTGTGTTCCAGCTATAGTAATGATAATATTGTAGATAATGGTTACTGTGAATTGTGAAACTTTCGTGGTGGTTTTGTTCTTGCCATAGTGAAGAATGAGTGAGAGAGAGAAAAAGTGTTTTTCGCCATGTTTTGAATTTGCGGTTGAAAAATTCCATAGTGTTGCAGTCATACAAGGAAGAGGTATTCGCAATATAGGAAATAGGAGTTTTCGTTTACACAACCAAACTTTGGTCACCTTGCATACGTTTTGGTGTCTTATCAAACACCTTCCTCAGAGCTTCTGACTGGAGTTCTGCTTCTCGCTGTAAGCAAGGTGAGATAAGGTTGGGTTGTGTAAAAGAAAAAGCCAATATCCTACACTAAGTCTTAACCAACCTGAAGAAACTATTTTTGAAGGTAGTCACAGTGTTATGAATTTGGAATGGAGAAGTCACTGCTAAACTAAAACCACCATGAAAGTTCCACAATTTACAGTACATAAGAGAAACAATCCTGCCATGATGTAGGGTTAAGAGCGAACTTGTGGTTGTTGGGTGGACAGGAGTTGTATATTGTGCGTGACGGCTCGGTTGTGTGTTCGTTAGGTCGTATCTGGCACCTCAGAGAGACGAGGAATCCGAGACCCAGAGGAAAGCGCGCTCGCGAAGGGCGAGGGAGACAAGGAGATCCACGCAGGTATGCTACTATTGTTTTGTTTAAAGTTAAAACTTATGGTGCAACACAAAAATTCTCACATTGTATGTGTTTAGAGTTAAAACTTTTGATTCCACAAAATTTTAAGTTCTCTCACCTAGAGCTTTCGACCAGTCACTCTGGTCTTCCTCAGTAGACTGACCCAGTGAGGCTTGTCACGTGGCTTCTTTGAAGTGTGACGTCAACACTGGGTCAAAGGTATCTGGTAGACGATGTCGGCCCCCGTAGCTGTTATTGTTTTTGTTTATTTGCACAAAAACGTAACACATAAACATGTACAGTGAATTTCAAAATGTAACTCATTTTTATGTCACATGCTATGAAACAAAGCATTAGGTACTTTTTCTTAACTTATGGTTGACGTGATCAGGATTTAAAAATGGCTGGCAGATGGGAAACTTTTGGAAAAGATGGAAAGGGAAACTTTTTGTATTTGCTTGCAAATGCTGGTTCAGGTGACCTCTGAAGTTAGATTTAGAACTGTTAGAAACTTCACTTGTCCCACATTATTATTGTTTTCATTGTGATTATCCTGTTTCTAATGCAAATAGCCTTCCGTCAAGACTTTGCGATAAAACTCATTTTTTCTTCTCTGAAGGGCGTGACCATGGATGACCTTGAGGCTGCAGAAAAGACCATCCGTAAAGACAAGGAAGAGAAGGAGAGGAGAGACAGGGAGGGGAAGGAAAACGGAACCGCCAAAGAGGTGAGAAAACCGTAGTCATAGATCTTACATATTGTATCTTAGAGTTCTTAGGCCTAGGAAAAATGTTGTGTTCATGTTGTGTTCCCAACATACCCTAGAAAAAGCCTCATGACCCTAAGCCTTTTTTGAGGTCAGCCACTGACAAGAGACAATTTTTGATCGGACATAAAGGTGCGTACCAGATTTTTTCAAAAACTTTTTACCAAACACAACATAACTTTTCCTAGCCCTTAGACATTTGCAGGGTATGGGACTGTGTGTAGGTCATTTCTGGTTGTATTGTCTTTAGTTACTGCTTTGTCCTGTGTCCTGTTTCCATGTTGTTTTTGCTTGTGTTTCTGTGTCACTGAGAGCCACAACGAACTACAGAAGAGATGAAATCTGTCAACCTGTGTGTCATTGTCATTTTATTTTCTTCTTCCTAGTAGTAAGAACTTTGATCTGTTATTTTCCTTCTCTCAGTGTAACTGTAAGTAGGTTTATGATACTGGAATCTGATGCATTTATAAGTTGAATTTCTTAAAACAACTTGAAATAAACTTCTGATTGTAAAACTATTAGCTTCTGTCCTCTGGCTCCAAGTGTACCCCCCTCCCCTCTGTCTTTTCCGCTCCTCTGTTGGGTTGTGAGATACCAGGCTGTTTTCTGTGCTTTTTTTTGTGCTGTTTTGTGATGATTGTGACTTCTCACAGGTGAGCACTGCTTTGTTCTGTGCATGAGCTTTTTCTGCTTTATTTACTATATGTTCCCAATACTGTTAAATCCTACATGTATGTGTGGTGTTATGATATGTTGTCTGCTGTTCCAGTACGTGTCAGCACCTACAATCTGATTCAGTCCTGATATTTTGACCTAACATGATCATTGGTTTGTGAACTATGGCTATAATGTCTCTTAGTTCTATAACTTCATAAATTCTCTGCCAGCCTACTCATTTTCATGTTTGTTACAAAAAAAGATTTAATAAACATTGCACAATTGACAGTTATATCAGAATTCAATCCAATCTTGACATGGGCAATTTTGGGACATGATTTGGAATGCGATGTACTGAAAAAACTTACCAGCATTGCACAATTTACATTAACATCCTAATCATCATAATTTTAAGATTTGTTCGGATTATAACACAGACGATTTTGTCCCCCAGGTTGGTCTGGCTGGCCTCCATCGCCAAGCCCGACTGGGAAGTGGGGACTACACGGGCACGACAGACCGCCCCTCAGGACCTATCAGCACGGCTCCCCCACCTAACACTCCCTCTGTAACTATCACTGAGGCTCCTGATGTTCAACTCACTCCTGATCATGATCACGAAAACAAAGGTAAGGTTTCCTTATGTTAATTTATGCATACTTTAATGCAGTAATTAGCATAATTTATGCATTTTACTCCCCACCAATTGTCACATCACGGAGGCTCCTGATGTTCAACTCACTCCCGATCATGATCAGGACCAAAACAAAGGTAAGGTTTCTTGCATGTTAATGAAGTAATTAGCATAATTGTCTGGAAGTAATTAGCATAATTTATGCATTTTACTCCCCACCAATGGTAACTACATGTATCATAGAGGCTGCTTATGTTCAAGTCACACCTGATCATGATCACAACCAAAACAAAGGTAAGGTATGCTTATGAGGTAATTAGCATAATTTATGCATTTTACTCCCCACCAATGGTAACTAACACTAGAGTTCAACAGATACTCGATCATGATCGAGACCAAAACAAAGGTAAACTTTTGTGCTTTGTGGATAGTTTGTGTCTACAACACTGATGCCAGTTTACCCATTGTTTACCCATCAGCCCAATCAACATCTGATATTAAACATCGTTCAAAGTTAGAGATTTTTGTGAAGTTGTTCTCTGCCATTCACCTCAATACATGTATCCCGTATCATCAGAATTCTATAATATAGTTATCTACAAAGTCCTTTTCTTACTGATCATGATTTGGATAAAAGTTCTTGTTACTGACATTAATACTAGGTAGAAAATTATTTTGGATTGTCAAAACACGAATTATATAAGTTGGCCTGCACAAAATGTTCTGTCACTTCTCATGGTTCCAAATCCTTTTTTCAAAAAGGTTGTTTTGTTTGTATGCAAAAAAAAATGATAACTTGCTGCGTGCCAGGCAAAACATGATAGCATCTGGAATAAGTCTTGCACAGAAAACATGACCATGTAGCCGACAGTTCCAAGTTTGTCTTTGGCAAAACGTGTGTTTTGAAAGTTGTTAGATCCACACAAGTTTGAAGCGTGATGACGTCAGAGTTGAGAGAAGTTTATATTGTAAGAGACAGATACAGACAGCTGTGAGCTAGGGACAATCCTACACACACATGTAGCCCTGGACTGAGTCCAAGCCTCTCGCTAAACCCCACTAAAATATGCTCTTAACACGTCCCCCCAAGAGTTTATCTTAGTTTAGGTGTACCTTTAAGTGCGGACAAACACTTAGAGTGTGGCCAGCTTTTGGGAGGGAGAGAGAGCTTCAGTTTTCCAACTTCCTAGCAGAACTGCAACAACTGATTCTAACCGGTACGTACCCTGGACAGTGTTTTTGCGTCTCCTCACATCCAGGCTCTTGGCAAATATTCTGAAATGAATCGATTCTAACGAGGTTTTTGTGGATCAAAGGCTTTGGTGTTGCCCAATTAGAAAATTCCTCAACACGCTGGAAAATACTTTTTTTCGAAACTTGCGCATTTTTCAGCTTTTAAGAGCTTTAAATGCCTTCTTGTTGTCTCGAAGTTGTTTTGTATCAACGCTGTTATTCGTCATTGGAACAACAAGCCGCGATATAATTATGGAAAAACGTTTTAATTATGGACTCCCACCCATAAATCCAAAACGCTTAACCCAACTGTCTTAATACTTTTTATGGTAACATATTAGGTGGTAATGAATATGCGGAAAGCGTTGATGAGTCCCTTGGGAATAGTCAAATTATAGATAATTATACTATAATTATGTATAATTATACATAATGATTTTGGTATTATACATAATTATACATAACCCGTTGGACCATTATACATGATTATACATAACCCTTTGGACCATTATACATAATTATACATAACACCTTTGACCATTATACATAACCCTTTGTACCATTATACATAATTATGTATAACTCTTTGTACCATTATACATAATTATACATAACCCTTTGGACCATTATACATAATTATATATAACACTTTGGACCATTATACATAATTTCACAAGCATATTGCAAGAACCGAGTGTGCCGATTTCGAAACTTCGAAACCGAATTCAGATGTTGGAAATGACGCTGTAACTTGCTTGGTTAGATACACCAAATTTTGGCACATTTCTCATTAAAATGTCTGTTTTCTTGGATGGGTATCACTATGACATCAACCTCAGCCTCAGACCTCCCGCAGATTGGATGCCCGATGGCTGACCCCGCGGTCAGGCTGGTACCTTGGGCGATGTGGAATACACTGTGTAGTATTCTATCTTTATGGTTGTTCTGGTCTGTGTCACAACTAGATATACAGCACGGGATTCAAAATGTTCTATAATAGAATAACTGGAAAATTCAAATACCAGATTTGCACATTGGAACTGATGTTCTTGTATTTTTCAATCTAGGTAAACACCAAATTTTGGCTCATTTTGCAATTTGAAAGGCGTGTGTTCTCTAGTGGGAACAATGTGGTGTATCCCTTATCACCTAGCCTCTACCAGGCTTGGGGAGGCGGCTGGAAAGAGTAGAAATCGGCCAAGTAGAGAGATAAGCATGCCAAGAGAGTTTGTCCGTTGAGAGAACAGTTCGCCGCACCCCACTTGCTGAAATAGAAATCCCATTTCACAGCTTCTTATGTGCTTACATTAACAGACAGAATTCTTTGCTACATATTTATTTTTTCTATTAATACTTAACATCTTTAATACATAACAATGAAGTAAGTCTTGAAAAAGGAGCCAACATATACTCTAGAAATTTCTGCAGGAAGAATTTTTCTTGCAGGAATTTCTGAGGGAGAATTTGTGCAGAAATTTTTGCCGGGGAAACCTAAATTCCTGCCTGCAGAAATCAGATCTTTCCTGCAGACATTTCTGCTGACATATCTGCAGGAAAAGTCCCTATATCTGGAGCCATTGGAGTAGGATATTAGTCTTGTTATGCATCCAAGCTTGTTTTACAACTGTTAGGCCACAATGATTTTGAATTCATTTCTTGTTTCTCAATTGAAACAGTCCTGTTGACTGTATAGATTTGCAACATTGCATCAATGTTTGCACTCTAGGTGGTCCTTTATAGTTTAGTTTTCAGATAACAATTGCTTGATTTTAGGTGTGAGTGTGTGTGTGAGTGTGTGTTTGTGTGTGTGTGTTCATAATTCATACACTGTAAGTTTTAGGCTGGTAAGTCAGAAAATGCTTTAATTTACTTCCCCTGTCCCCATCTGTAACTCTTTTACAACTTCATCTGACCAAGGAGGTTGTTCTTAACCTCTATGATCTGACTAGAGTCTGTCACTCTTAGCCTGGTATCCAGTCTGATCGTGATTGGGGGTATTGGGGTGTTCGGGCAGGCAGGTTGTTTCTTCGGGGGCTCTAATAGCTTCCCCCGCCCAGTGCAACAGACCGTCCCGGTAGGAGTGTTACGCTAATCAGAGACAGTATGCTCGGGGATCTCTCGTGAAATACACACCGGGAAGCTTATGTGAGGCGGGCGGGCCAGAGCTCTTGCGGCCCCGACCACGAATCAGACTGGATACCAGGCTAGTCACTCTTGCTGCTTTGGAACTTGTTGATTGTATCACCAGGGTGTGATAATCACCTCTCCTCCCCATTCTCACCCATCTTTAGTATGTGTGTTTTGTGTATGGGTGATAACCAACCTCCACAATGGATGCAGTTTATTTCATCAAAAGAAAGATTAGGTCTAATTGGGTGTTAAGTATTTTATGATCACCACAGCATTGTTCCAGGAATCATAGGCCAAATCTCAGACCCCTTTGGTGGCAAGTCTAAATCAGTGTGGCCTAAAGCAGTCCCAAGTTTTAGCTGATTAACCTAACTTAATGATATTGGATTCATTTTCTCTTTTATCATCATCAACACATCCTTCGTTGATACATGTATATAGCACTTTTTATGTCTTACCTGGGCCGCAATTACGTTCGATACGGGTGTTCTGGACCGGGCTGTACTTTACTTCTGAGGCTAAATGCATTGGATGACATAACATATTGGATGATACTAGGTACTAGTATCATTTATAAAAGAGAAAATGAATCCAATATCATTAAGTTAGGTTAATCAGCTAAAAGTAAAACTTGGGACTGCTTTAGGCCACACCGATTTAGACTTGCCACCAAAGAATGATTTGAACGCATTTCGCCCTAACCGCATGTGTGTCATGTGAGTCTTTAAGGACCACAGTAAGAATAGCTGCAATACAATTTTGTAAGCTAAGTGCGGATCCCAATAAAGTCAAAGTCAACCGCGTGCACCGCTTTTGAAAATTTGAATACAAAATTCAGACATATGTTTGGGTTTAGGGACACCAAATTTTTGCTCATTTTGAATTGAAGTTTTCTTGGGTGGGTATGACATAAATAAGATACAACACGGTGTTTCCGCATCACCCTCGGTCCCGGCCCTCCCGCGGATCGGATCTCCCTTCGGCCGTCGGGCGATCTGACCCGCGGTCGGGCTGGTACCTCTGGTGATACGGAATACACCGTGTTGTATTCTATATAACCTCCGTGATATAACTAATAGTAATACTCAAGGACCTATTCTGATTCCTTAGACACCTCTCGCTAGTTGGAGGGTTAAGAGTGCACTTCTAATGTTCAGATGGTGCTACCATATGATGGAATTGGCACGAAAACTCTCGCGAGACAACGAGTCTCCAACACGTGACCCCGAAGAGAGCGTGTCGGGACATGTACGGACAATCCTTCATTCTGTAGTTCGTCACGCAGCGCTGCAGTCAAGGACTTGGTGGGATGTAGAAATGCAGAAAATTAGACCAAACACCAACAGAATAACAGACTTTAAGTAATCCATCAGGCTCTACCAGGCTTCAGGGAGCAGCTGGAAGGAGTAAAAATGGGCCAAATACTCATAGAAAGATAACATCCCAGGGGATTTGGTCTGCTCAAGAGTACAGTTTGACACTTTCGGGGCTTATCCTTCTACTAGGTCCAGACGGTGTCTGACATACAACTTCCTTGCCAAGATCATAAAGTGCAAAAACATTGCCCACCAGTGCTGTTGAAAAGAGTTCTGCAGCAGTGTTATTTTGAAAAATGAACACCAAATACATGTTGAAAATTGACTGGTTAATGATTAACTGATGAGCTGTATTTAGCACAATGTAGACTCCTGCTGAGGCTATCTGTGGTGTGAGGGGTCATCAATCACAGCTTCTCCTCCCTATACCCATGGAGGTAAAAGATCTCATTTTTCTACCTCCATGCTATACCGGACAGCCTTTCCCAAGTCTTCCTACCATGCTCACTGAGATACTTTGTGTCCAGTGTGCTATGGGTGCTACTGTGTTGGTAGTCATGATAGTACAATGCTGAACTGTTTATTATTTAAAAGTCTGTAAAATCTGTAACTCACGCAGGTTTGTGTTTAGAAGTGATTGATAAATGACAGCGACAGTTGTTGAAAATTTGATCCCTGTGTACCCTAGTACTGGAATAAAGTAGGCAAGTGCAATGTGATGATGATGATTTTCTGGCATTGGAGTCTAATAACGACTTAAGCCTATTACAGATCAGATCCTTTTTTTAACAACCGCACAAGCCAGGTATAGTACTCTCCAAGCAGAGGTTTGGGTTTTGGGGGTATTTTTAGTGTGTTTTTAGGCTTTTTTATCTGGGTTTCTCTTTTGCACTGAATTTTTTTTCCACCATCAGGGTTTCTCTTTTGCACTGAATTTTTTTCCCACCAAACCCCAAAAAAATTCAGTGCAAAAGAGAAACCCCGATAAAAAAGCCTAAAAACACGCTATTAAAAAATACCCCCAAAACCCAAACCTCTGCTTGGAGAGTACAAGCCAGGCCCTTCTGAGTCAAAAGTTCTGACCCAGCCCACTGATTGAGCCAAGAAGATTATTCTCCCAGGTTCCCTGAGGTGGTATCTTCCCACTGACTGTGCCTTTTGTTGGCCCTATGCAAATCAAGGCAATTCACACCATGACATCAATTTAAGAGTGTTAACATCCACTGCATAAAATAATGAAGGAGTTCAGGGGAGAGGACAAAACCTTGACTCCCCAAATGACTCAGACCAAAAGAGGTTTAAAAAAGATTTTAAAACTTCCTTGGTCCTATAAAGCATAAAAGAGGCCTTTCCTGACAAGATGCATGTACATGTACTGGTCTTTCCAGCCAGCCTTTCTATAAAATGATTGTTACTGTCCTGTAGGGAACTAATTAGAACCAACCTGTAAGGAAGACAGAGTGCCCAAGGAGGTTCAAACCTTCTTGTGCTCTCAATACTGTAGAGATACCG